TCTCTCTCTCTCTCTCTCTCTCTCTCTCTCTCTCTCTCTCTCTCTCTCTCTCTCTCTCTCTCTTTGTATTGGTGATTAGTTTGCCAAGTTGGGCAAATGGTAGAAAAGAGACAATAACAGAATTACTAAAATTTAAGAGGCTACAAAAGGACAAGTCCAAACATATTCACACACTTAAAAAGCTTTTCTCGTATATTTTTGCTATATATGTGGTGGTGTCTCTCATTGACTCCTCTCTTCCTATATCACTCACTATTTATGTATCCATCTCTCCACACATCTCTCTCCATCTCACACACATCTTCCTCTTAACACATTAATATATAGATGCATCAGTCATCCTTAACATCTTCATAACCAACAACACAACTCTTCCTCTTCTTGGTCTTGATCTTGAATATCTAAAATTATGGAAGCATTCGAAGAGGCTATAGCGGCCTCAAAAGAGCAAGCATTGATCCTTAAAGGGAAGCGTACAAAGCGACAACGTCCACAATCTCCTATTCCTTTCTCTATATCCCCTCCTATAGTTGAAGAAGAAGTGTCCAATGTTCTTGATTCCAAGGAAAATGCTGTTGAAAACCTCAAAAAGGATGGTGTGATCACGTCTTCATCTTCATCAGCCTCTTGGTCTTCTAACCACAACCCCACATTGAAGGCAGAAGAAGACGAGGAAGATCAAGACATAGCTAATTGTTTGATACTCCTTTCTCAGGGACACTCTTTTCCCCAACACAACCAACAACAGCTCAAGATACCTAACCAAGAAATAAACAATAATAACACGTATAGATTTAGCAGCAGGAGGTTTCTAGAGACTTCTTCATCAAACGGTGGTGGTAAATCAGGTTACTACGTTTATCAATGCAAAACATGTGACCGGACCTTCCCTTCTTTTCAAGCTCTAGGTGGCCATAGAGCTAGCCACAAAAAACCTAGAGCCACCTCCTTCTACTCCAACCTTGACCTAAAGAAGAATATCTACGAAAACGACGCCGCTTCACTCATTACAACCACAAATATTTACAATAACAACAAGAACAATAACAATAGATCGCTTGTCGTTTACGGGAAGGCAGGTAACAATAAAGTTCATGAATGTGGAATATGTGGAGCTGAGTTTACGTCAGGACAAGCCTTAGGTGGTCACATGAGACGACATAGAGGCGCGGTGGTTGTGGCTGCGGCACCGGCTCCCATTGTAACGGTGGCTACGGCTGCGGCCAACACGGAGTTATCATTGTCTTCCATGTCGTATGATCAAATATCCGACGGTCTAGATCATCTGGTGATGCCAGAGACAAAGAAAGCTAAGAAGATGGTCGTGTCATTGGACTTGGATCTTAATCTACCCGCACCGGAAGATGAAAATAGGGTCAACGGGTTGAGCCTAGCTTTGAATCAAAAACACGAAGAAGAACAAGAACATCAACAGACGAAACAAAGAGAAGAACCAATGTCTCTTGTCTTGTCTGCTCCTAGTTTGGTGGATTGCTATTACTGATTTATCTATTATACACCATAATCTAAAACATTTTATTTTTGGCTTACTAGGAAAAATGATATATAACTTATCCAATATTTATGTAACAGATTCTTTGCTTCTTGAACACTTGTGACATTCTTTTTTTTTTAAGAGTACTATCAGTTTTAGTTGCGAGTTGTTACAAAAGAAAATTGTATACAGATTGATGTCACATTCTTTAATGCTTTCGAACAGAAAATTTTATTGTTTTCTTTTATTTCCTCCAAAAGAAAACACAAAAGCTCACGAAAGGGGCGTGACGGGGTCGAGTCTTGTTGTTTCAATTCTTTTGTTTGCAGTTGTAACAAAATTTCTCTTTTCCATTGACAATATACTTTTTATGTCGACAGTGAGAGAGTTCTGATGAAATACATATACTATTTCTTGCTGCTTTTTATTTAAATATATCAGTGGTGATAGTTTACAATAATATTGTCATATGATATACATGTACCATACTCAGTTCACATTCTGTTTAGTTGCAATAAATATATTTAATGTTTTAAAAAAACATATATGATTTACATATGTATATATCACTTACGGTTACTAAACTATATTCACTTCATCTGTGATTATTTTTATCAATTTTTCTGGAAGCCAAAACTTTCTAAGAGATAAATTATCACTATAAATCAGGTGGAAATGTTAATCACCTCAAATTTGAATGTGTCTATTAGAAAAAAAAAAAAAAAAAGAAAAAGGAATGTATCTACTTTTTGTTCACTTCACCGACGTCAAGAAAGTACTTCTAGGGTTAAAAATATTATCCAGACAAGCTAACTCAACTGGTAATACTAAGACAACTGTTTGAAAGGTCATGAGTTCGAGTCTCGAACGGAGAAGAGTGTCCAAAGCCGTAAAAGAGGTACAGACTGGTTCTGGGCTTAGGAAGGGGTTAAGGCCGAAGGCCCGAACCCATCCTCGTTTACCAAAAAAAAAAAGGATTTGCTGTTTTAGTGTTCACTGTGAAGACTGCATGCTATTTAAAGTTACTCTTCTTACAATCTGGCCCAAAATATATTGATTCCATTAGACCTAGGTTTATAAAATAGGAAACCAGTTTAACTAGTAGGCCCATTTCGGCCTGCTCTCTGGCCCGGTTTACAATCATAAATAGCGTGAAAAAACAGATTAGCATCCCAACGACTCGGAATGTTCTAGAATCACAAATATTAAGAAACGTGTTGACGTGTCTCACCGTCACATATCAAAATATCACCGCACCGTCACTATAAACCCCTCTCTCCCCAACCTCACTTTCGTGGTTCTTCCCTTCTTTTTAGTTTCCACGGTTGCTTCATAACAACGTCATCATCGTGTGATCGTCTTTCTCCAAATAATTTTCTCCCAAATTCCTCTCAAAAACCCTAATTCCCCCAATCTTAAAAATTCATCCATCGAATCCGCAATTCCCACTCACCCACAAAAGAAAAACCCTAACTTTCTCGTTCTCGTTCCCCCAATTTTGATGGGTCGCGGCTCAGTAACCTCGCTCGCTCCTGGGTTCCGTTTCCACCCAACAGACGAGGAACTCGTTCGTTACTACCTCAAACGCAAAGTCTGCAACAAACCCTTTAAGCTCGATGCTATCTCCGTCACCGATGTGTACAAATCCGAGCCTTGGGATCTACCAGGTTAGATCGAATTCGTGTTTAGCTCAATTATTGAATTAGGTTTTGATTCGATTTTGTGGATTGTAGATAAGTCGAAGCTGAAAAGTAGAGACTTGGAGTGGTACTTCTTTAGTATGCTTGATAAGAAGTACAGTAACGGTTCGAAGACGAATCGTGCCACGGAGAAAGGCTATTGGAAGACGACGGGGAAGGATAGGGAGATTCGTAATGGCTTGAGGGTTGTTGGGATGAAGAAGACGCTTGTTTATCACAAGGGTCGAGCTCCTCGTGGTGAGAGGACTAATTGGGTTATGCATGAGTATAGGCTTACTGATGATGAGTTGAAGAAAACTGGTGCCCCACAAGTAAGATACCTTCTTTTTGTAATCTGATAGTTTTTGTTTGTTATGCCTTCTATGTTATTGACTTTGTTGAGTCTGTTGTGTGGGGAAGGATGCGTATGTGCTTTGTAGGATATTCCAGAAAAGTGGAACGGGGCCTAAGAATGGGGAGCAGTACGGTGCTCCTTATATTGAGGAGGAGTGGGAAGAGGATAAGATGACGTTTGTGCCAGAGCAAGATGGTCTTAGTGAAGCGTTGGCTGTTGATGATGATGTTTATCTCGACATTGACGAGTTTGACGAGGTTTGTGTATTATATAATAGCTTTAGCTTTTTCTTATTATGATCAATGTATAGTGTAAGAGTGTTATGCTGAAGAGTTATAAGTGATGTGGTCACAGATACTTGTTTAGATTATAGAGTAATGTGGGGTTGTATGCTAGTTAATTTCGGTTTAGGGATATTCATGAATCCATGAAGATGATACACATTTATACATTCATGGCATTTCTTTTTGTGTGAACGTCTGAATGTGATTTTCTTTTGTAGAAGCCTGAGAATCTGGTGGTCTATGATGCCATTCCTGTACAGCCTAATTATCTTCATGGAGAGTCAAGCAACAATGTTGAGTCAGGAAATTATTCAGACTCTGGAAACTACATTCAACAAGGAAACTATGTTGAGGACTCTGGTGCTTGCTATGAACAGCCAATTGAAACGTTTGAGGAGGATCAGAAGCCTATCATTCGGGAAGGTAGCATTCAGCCTTGTTCTCTGTTCCTCGATGAACAAAATGGTTGTGGTATGCATGATGAGAACGCGGTGAATTTGGAAACAGAGAACAATAATGTATTTGCGACTGGTGATTGCTACAGTGACATTCCTATTGATACCAGCTATATGGCTGACGAGGCATTCATCGATCCTAGCAACAATCTTCCACTCAGTGATGGTCTGTTCCTGGAAACGAATGATCTCGGCAATCCTCTACCAGATGATTTCAACTTTGACGATTATCTTGAATTCTTTGACGATGAGGATGGTCAGAATTTGACTCTCGATGTTTCTCAGTTGTTGGGATCTGAAGACGCAATTCCTGACCAAGAAGGCCTTGACCAGATAGTAAGAGTCTTTGCTTTCGACTTGCTAAGTTTTTCTATATGTTATTAAGTCCTTTCTAACTTACTTCTACACCAGCAGCCTTCCTCTGAAGACTTGGACAAGGAGGTCACAGAAGGCAACGATGTGGTGGAGAAAGATGAAAGTGGCGAAGGATCTTCCTCAAAGCAAGATGCAGATGTCACAGACTTCGATTCAGGTAACACTCAGATGTTTTTTACATTCCTGGTCAAACAAATTATTTGATGACCGCTTCTAACTCTTCTGAAACTGAAATCATGCAGCTTCAAAGTACCCTTTCCTCAAAAAGTCGAGCCACATGTGTGGAGCAACATCTTCATTTGCTTCCCAGTTCCAATCCAAGGACAGGCTACACGCAGGGCAATCTTCAGGTTCGGTTCACGTTACTGCAGGTATGATGAGAATATCAAACATGACTCTAGCAGCGGATACCGGTATGGGCTGGTCATATGACAAGGACGGTAACCTCAACGTCGTCCTTTCTTTCGGCTTGATCCAACGGGATGATGGTGGGGTGAGTTCCTTTGGAAGCAAGGCAGGAGGAGTTCCAGCGACAAGAGCTATGTTGATATTCATCTGCTTATGGGTTCTCTTGCTCTCTGTTAGCTTCAAAATAGGAACCATGGTCTCTGCTCGGTGATGGTATCAAAAGTTGAATCATCTGAAAGAAAAACTTCTTCGGTGTTTGTACCTCTCCAACTCTATAGGCTTTTACTTAGGCAGTGCTTTGCTGCCTACTATTTTATTTTTCTAGTAAGGATAATTGTGTAGTTTGGATTCTATTTACAGTTTTCTAGCTTGAGCTTGAAGAAATAAGAACATAGCGATTTTATTTGAGCCTTGCTCTCTGTTACTAATGTTGGAAACACAATCTTTAAACGTTTGGAACTGAAATAAGGGAGAGAATAAAGAACATTCATAACAAACAAATTGATATTTGAATCTTTGTAATAGATAAAAAAAAAATAACTTATATATCCTCACACTGTTTCTCACTCTCAAAGGTAGTATTATAAAACCAATGTATGGTTCTGTCTCTGCTGGATGTGAACGTTGAGCTTCTTCAAATGAATCTATAGTTTGGGATCTACCTAGCACCCCAGCCCCACCCTTGCTTTTTGACGGCCCCGTCTTCTCTTGCATCCGATGCTAACTTCTGTTTTCTAAGCATCTCAACTTCAGCTTCAATGGATTGTCCGGACTCCAATGCTTTCTGCAGTTCTGCTATTTGTGCCTGTGACATTCCATTAGAGATAGAATCACGACTGAGTTGGCGATTTTGGAAAAGAGAGACAAAGGGGGGAAACTTTAGCAGACTGTGAAAGTAGAAGGAGGCTTGTATACCTCAAGTTTAAAGCATCTTGACCGCTCTGAGATAAGTTGACCTTGTACAGACTGAAGTTCCTGCAATAATGTGAAAAGATTGTGAACCACGTTCATCTAACACAAGAAGAGACAAAAATCACTTGAGAGTTAAGGGGTACGAACTTGAGATAGTTCAGTGTGGCTGCTATTAACTTCATCTATCTTTTCCCTGAGCTTCGAGTTTTCTACTTGGGTTTCTGCAACAGATGACTCCAAATTTCTTTTTTCTTCTTTAATGGAATCGACTGTGTTTCTAATATCTCTCCCAGAGAAGCTGTTTTCTTTTCCGTTGAGATTTGGGTTTGCAGGCGGTGGAGGAAAATCTGAACTTTCTGACTTGGCTATGGCATAAGCAGCAGTGACAGAGGCCGCAGCTGCAGCGGCTGCTGGTGACTTGAAGATTTTGGGATATGAGGATTCTCTTGGCTTTAGTCTCATGACGAATATCTGCGTAAACAAAGACAAGCGCCGAATATAATGGATAAAACATATCACTAAGGCATGACTGTATTCTACGCTATGGTATGGGCTTTACATCATTGTTATACTTCCCGTTATAGCCGCCAAAAGCTACTAAAATGTTCTCTCCAAATACTGATGCTGAGCACACACTAAGACCCTGCAATTGAATAATAGCAACACATAAGAAAACTCGGATAAGAAAGAAATTGAAAATTTGAAATTCGGATTAGTTTATCAACCTCACTAGCAAGTGGATGCCTTGCTCCTACATGTGTTGATGTAGACCAAACCAGCTTCGACATATTCAGAACAAGGGTCTCTAAACAACCTGCACGCGAAAGAAAAACAAAAGTCATGGAGGAGAGTTGTATGCAGAGTATCAGCTACGAATGCTTGTTAAGCAAGAGAGTGCATTTACCGGTACTGTTATCACCGCCCCCAACTATATACCAGTTTTCGTCAATGGTTATTCCTGCGTGTCCTGCCCGAGGAGTTACAACATCTCCCTGAACTTGAGGCTGTGACCACTCCATCTGCCATGAGTGTAAAAAATCATTAGAATATGATTAAAATGGCAAGGAAAAATCTAGAAAATGTGCTTACAGTTTGCAAGTCAAGGATATGAAGGTCATTGAAGAAGATAGAATGAGAACAACCACCAAAAATCAAGAGGTAACGATCGGAATGTGTAGCAGCAGTGTGATCAAATCTGGGAACTGGGCGTGTCTGCCTATCAAACAAGAAAAGTACACAAATGAGATGTAAGACCAGTTAGAAAATAACTGCAGCAAAAACATAAACATAAATCTAGTTGACTAAAAACTTACGATGTCTCGACCACATCCCAAGTCATCGTCTCGAGATCAAGAACATGCAGATCATTCAGCAGCCTCCTTTTCTTATCTTCCCCACCAAAAACAAAAACTCGGGAACCTACCAGCGTAATGGAATGTCCACCACGTGATACCTATAAAACAAAAAAAAAGGAGTATAACCAGCCGAAACATAAAACGTATATGGACTAATTCAGACAACAGTTTCCCTACCGGAGCATTTCCCGAGGTAACAACGACTCCACACAGATGTGTTTCCAAATCAATAAACCGCACTGTAAAGAAAAAGAAAAATTAACAAACTCTATAAGCATCTGAAAGAGCATCCACATTATTCATTTTTCTTTTGTATCTCATAAAACATCTAAATATTGGCTAACCTGACATGTTATCTGATGAATCCTTTGAGTATCCCCCAATCAGAAGAAGCCTATTCCCCCACTTAATCTGCCAAAATTTTCACAATTTTTAAGTATGATTTGCAAAAACTCTTCAGACAAGTAAAAGACTTATTACCATGCGGTGGTCTGAAATAGCAGGAAAAGCATCCCCTAAGCTACTACCATCACCACCATCTTCAGTTTTAAGTTTCAAACTAGACCAAGTCAAACTTCTAAGATCAAACACCTGAATAATTTTAATTTAACAAATCAACACAGATCCAATGAATGAAACAATACACAAAGCAAATAAAAAAACTACCTGGAGATCAGATAAGTAACGGCCGTTACGGCTTCCACCAACAATGTAGAGCTTCTCATCAACAACCAACGCCGCATGCTGCATTTTCCATAAGAGAAGATATATATAATTAGACAATTAGATCATAAATCTCAATCAAACGAATCGATCAAAAATCACCTTGTAGCGAGCTGATGCTCGTGAGCCAGTAGGAACAGTGAGTGGTGTCCACTCATCGTAAGCGAGATTTGAATGCCAATCACCGACGTCTATCTCCTTCCTCATCTCTTCCATTGTCACACAAAAAGACTTACCTCACAGCTTCTCACTCTGCAAAAAGACTTTCCTGATTTTAACAAATTGATATCGAAAAGAGTATAATTCTATAAACTAAGTAGATGCTACATCAGAGACATTGCGATCACAAAGAGAGATCTGAACAACAATTGAGAGATAAAAGGAGAGATATGAAGATAGCTACCGGAATGGCGGCGATTGTCAGAGCCGCCGGTGAATGAGATCTCTGGTATCGGAGAGGGAGAGGGTGTAAGGATTGAGGGAAGTGAGATCGAATCTGTATGGAAATGTTGTGGACACTTGGGATAAATATTGAAAAGTCTTCGGTAGTAACTGTAAATATAAAATTCCAGAATACCGGTTGCTTCTGCAAATATCAATACTATTATTTGCGAAGTGATTTTTCGCAACGGAGCTCTCACGTTAAAAGTTAGAGTGGTTAATATCTATTTTACCCTTAATGAATTTTTTATATATAGCTAATTTTATAATTAAAAATGAAATTTAAAAAATAAAATTAGATTAGTATGTTATTATCTTAGATAACTGAGAATAATTAATATAATAAATTTATAAAAAAAATCAAATCTAAGAAAAACAAATTTCAATGATTTTAGATTTATCTTTATCTAAAACTCTTTTATATTGGGTTATAAAGTCTATATTAACCTTGAAAAATAATTATATTGGTTAATATATAATTAATTATAAATTAAAAACGAATTTTATTTATTTGATAATTATCCTTATTTTAATTTTTTTATATTATGTGATAAAGTCTTTATCAACCTTGAAAAATAATTATATTTATTAATATATAATTAATTTTACCCTTAATGAATTTTTTATATATAACTAATTTTATAATTAAAAAGGAAATTAAAAAAAAAAAAATTGGATTAGTATGTTGTTATCTTAGATAACTGAGAATAATTAATATAATAAATTTATAAAAAAATAAAATCTAAGAAAAAAAAAATTTCAATTATTTTAAATTTATCTTTATCTAAAACTCTTTTATATTGGGTTATAAAATCTATATTAACCTTGAAAAATAATTATATTGGTTAATATATAATTAATTATAAATTAAAAACGAATTTTATTTATTTGATAATTATCCTTATCTTAATTTTTTTATATTTATTAATATATAGTTAATTTTAAATTAAACAATGAATGTCATGAATTTGATAATTATCCTCATCGAACTTTTTTATATTGTGCTATAAAGTCTTTATTAACGTTGAAAAATAATTCTATTTGTTAATATATAGTTAATTATGAAAAATCAATTCACAAAAAATTTATGTATAGATAATTTATATTGTGTTATCCAAAAAATTATTAAAGATAATTTTTTATACATTTTTTGTTATGTCTAAAAATGATATTAATTTATTACTAAATATTTTAAGTTTATGAGTATTTTCAAAAATTTTATATATAGAAAGAATATGTTTATTTTTTGATTAAATATTTTGAGTCTATGAACAATAATTTATTATAATTTACATAAATTGATTATATATTTATTTATAAATATTAGTAAAATTATTAAGCCCGCAAGTGCGGGCAAACTACCTAGTAAATTAAGTATGTTGAGCTAAGTTTAGCATAAAAATCCGACCCATAAAAGTTCATGAGATGGGCTCGTTTGACAATATTTACGGTCCATCAACCATGTCCAATTATTTCGTCCCTCAAATTTTTTTTCGAATCCGAAGTAACGAATTCTAGAGCAAGCAGATAACGATCAAAACCAAATCATCTCGTCTATACTATTATTTGCGAAGTGATTTTTCGCAACGGAGCTCTCACGTTAAAAGTTGGAGTGGTTAATATCGTTTATACCCTTAATGAAAAAAATATATAAATCAGTTAAAAATAAAAACGAATTTAATACTTATTTGATTAGATCAATGATTTAAACTAATAATAATGATAAGAATTATCCATAATCTAAATATATATTTAAAAAAAAAAATAATTACTGTATTTATTGTGTGTTATCTGGAAAATATATTTTTAATAAAAAAAATCAAAAACAGAAAACACATAAATAAATATTCATAAAGTACAATTTTTAATTGTTTATAAATTAAAAAAGAAAATTGAAAAATTATAATACATAATTATTTTCAAATTAAAATAAAAAATCATTCAAAAATAAAGAAAGAGATTTTTCGCAACGGAGCTCTCACGTTAAAAGTTGGAGTGGTTAATATCGTTTATACCCTTAATGAATACAATATATAAATCAATTAAAAATAAAAAAACGAATTTAATACTTATTTGATTAGATCAATGATTTAAACTAATAATAATATAAGAATTATCCATAATCTAAATATATATTTAAAATAAAAAGATAATTCCTATATTTATTGTGTTGTTATCTAGAAAATATATTTTTAATAATAAAATTCAAAAACATAAAACACATAAATAAATACTCATAAAGTAAAATTTTTAATTGATTATAAATTAAAAAGAAAATTGAAAAATTATAATATGTAATTATTTTCAAATTAAAATAAAAAATCATTCAAAAATAAAGAAAGAGTTTTTTCGCAACGGAGCTCTCACGTTAAAAGTTGGAGTGGTTAATATCGTTTATACCCTTAATGAATAAAATATATAAATTAGTTAAAAATAAAAATGAATTTAATACTTATTTGATTAGATCAATGATTTAAACTAATAATAATGATAAGAATTATCCATAATCTAAATATATATTTAAAAATTAAAAAGATAATTCCTATATTTATTGTGTTGTTATCTGGAAAATATATTTTTAATAAAAAAATTCAAAACAGAAAACACATAAATAAATATTCATAAAGTAAAATTTTTAATTGTTTATAATTTAAAAAAGAAAATTGAAAAATTATAATACATAATTATTTTCAAATTAAAAAAAAAATCATTCAAAAATAAAGAAAATACGTGTTTGACAAAAATAAATTCAAATATATTGTATTATTATCAAAACTAATATTATTCTCTCTGTAAGATCAATTTTTGAATGTATATTTATCGATTTAATTTTTTAAATTGAAAAATAGATTTATATTTTTTTTTTTATCAATTTATATATTTTCAAATTAAGGAATATCACTCTTTAAAGGAAAAAATAGATTTTTTTTTAATTTATGCATAACTTTATCATTTAAAAAAGTTTAATGTTTTTGATCAATTTTTTTGGATGCAAATAGTCATTTATTTTGATGAATTTTTAAATTCATTTAAAGATAACTAAGCCCGCATATGCGGGCAAAACACCTAGTTAAAACATTATTTGTGGTCAATATACAGTGATACCTCTATAAATTAATAATGTTGGGATAATACCAAAACTATATTTTTTTATTAATCTATAGAGATTATTAATTTTATCAATATACTATTTGAACCAAAACTCAATTTGGTACTATAAAATTATATTATTTTAAAGAGATTTTTAGTGTATATTAATTTATAGAGTATTAATTTAAAAAGGTTATAGTGTAGATGAAAAGCAAAAGATTGGATAGTTTTGATTATAACATAATATCTAGGCAACTCGTATAAATATAAGAAGATCGGGGTACTTCGAGAAGTATATGAAAAGTTTAGGTAATGAGCCTAAATACAAAATATAGTGTAACCTCTTTAAATTAATAATTTATAAATTAATATACATTAAAAATCTCTATAAGATAATATAATTTTATAGTCACAAATTGAATTTTTGATTTAATTAATATATCGATAAATTAATAATCTCTATATAAATAATATAGTTTTAGTATAGTTCTAACATTACTAATTTATAGAGTTTTAATTGTTTGTATATGAAAGAAAGCAATTGCACTGTAAAATTGTTACAAACATGAAGAACTCAAAGGGAAACAAAACTTCAATAAAGTTGTTGAAAAACAAAAAAAAAACAAAGTGAAAATAGTACTTCTAAATCCAAACCTGCTTCTCTCCCAAGAGAAAAAAAAAAACACATTGTATTATGTGAAGACATGAAACAAAGCTCCTTGAGAGAACTCTCTGCCTCTCACTCAAAGATGATTTGTGATCCCCATCTCATAGCTTAAGCCTCAACAAATGATCAAAGATAAGAAACCAAGATGGACACACTTCCATCAATGGTTTTATTCCGTCTCTCTCTCAGAGGCTGAATCAACTTTCTGTTTTATCATCGTCTCAGCTTGTTGAATTGCTCTCTGTGATCCTGTGATAGTCACTTTCCTGTCCATTTTTTTTGCCATTTAACAAGTTTAGACATGAGAGGTATTCAACACATTGTTCGGTTATAACTCTCACAATCATGTTAGCTTTTACCTATCAGTGGTTCCAGACATGAAATCGCCTCGGTCTGATATTTTTATTCTGGCACCTGTCATCTGAGTGATTTCCATGATGTTTCTTCCTCCACGACCAAGGACCAATCCTATATGCTCATCCGACACACCAATTGTCACCGTGCTACCACCCTCTTCCTGAAATGTATACCAAACACACAGCTTTAAATAAATGATAAAAATCAAAAGAAACCATGTCTGATTGCATTTACATGAAAACAGGGTGGAACATATATTATGCAAAATTATACACCAAACTATCCATAGCAGTGATACGGATAGAGACTCATTCATACATATATTTATTAATAGGGTGGAATATGGTGCAAAGAGACTAACCTTGTGGTTTTGATACCTGCCTCCAGAACCATTGTGTGTGTAGTTAACCGAATTGTATCCCGCTGTTGCAAAAGAAGGAAGCACATACGCATATGGATGACCATGAAAACCAGAGTAGGAAAGACCTAAAATGCCGATTTAAAAGGAACTTACAAGAGAAATAAGCTCAACAACAGACAAGCACCATACACAATCCGCAAAATAGAAAAAAAAATTCCATGGGAGATGAAAGATACTAAACCGTTTACTATCTTCGTTGACATCTAACAGTCTAAAACTCACTAGAAAAAAATGCTATGCAATCAAAACATATATAACACGATGGGAAACAAACCTAACTAAGCTAATACCGAGTTAATATACCTGCATATGAATATGGGGAATGTACATTCTGGGAGTAATGATCATCCTCAGTAAGCTTAGCCAAAATCAAATCAATTGCTCGCATCTGCTCCTCGAATGTTCCAGATAATGTTACTAGCCTATCACTCATCCCATAGAATGTATTATCCAGAGGGGATATCTTAATACCAGCTTTAGATTCCTCAATGAATGACCTGTGGCAAAAGAAATTAATTTTTAACGGTTGGTGACAGCAGTACTACTAAATTCAATATTCCTACCGCCAAAACAGAAAAATACAACGCCATAGTCCAAGAATCAAAGATAAATTAGATATCCCTAACTAACACTAATACTTCACAGTCATATCTAATATCCAGAGACCTCTTTCCATATTTTATAGGGTCTTGACTTGTTTATGCATGCATGGAGCATGGAAACAATGCAAGAACACGACAGGATAGGTTCTAGATGTAAGTTGGTGGTTTAGTGTGCTACAGGAAATGGTGTTAAGGAAAATAGGCCATAAAATATCTGACAACCTTATACAATCTGCTGCGAGAAAATCAGAGGATTAAACTTACTTGATAGTGGCCCCTCCTTTTCCAATAATACCTCCACAAGAACTGTTAGGAACCACAAGTCTTAGTCTTCTCCTAGGCTCAACATCACTACCCTCTTCAGCATGAAGCTAAACAAACAAACCAAAAAAGTCAACACTGCTGTCGCAATACCAATATTATATATACATATAAGTTAAAAACAGTTTGTGATATTACCTCGCTGTGCAATTTATCAAGGATAAGTTCAAGACCATTGACAACTTCTTTAATGGAGCCCGATATCATAATAATCCTATCAGTAGTCCCAGGGAAAAACTCTTGGTTACGTGAGAGCTGAATCCGGGCCCCGGACTTAGCCTGAAACTCAGTGATGGTGGAGCCTCCTTTCCCAATCACAGAACCAGCTGCCGCATTGGATACAAGAAACCGAATGTGTGTTGGCTTCTCAGCAGAGTCTGAAAAAAGGAGAGAAATTCATAGCATCATCCACATCAGTATTGAGGTAAACGTTGAATTGAAATTTAAAAGAGTCAAAAATACAATCCTAACGAATAAACATTCAAAAAAAATAATACATGAGAATGAGTCTGATCTAAATGCATTATTATTTGTTTAAAAAAAATGAACAGATCGGATCGGAAATAATTACCAGCTTCCGAAGAATCGTGCGGCTCAGGGGATCTCTTGGTGAGCTCTTCAGGGGCATATGACTCGGTGGATTCCATTGCCTCTGCAGAAGATATAGACAAAGAGAAGAACCGAATTAACCAATCGACATTGCTAATAAAACGAACAAAACAAAGGAGAGAGAGATTGAGTGAAGAAAACTAATACTCTGTTTCTCGCACACAATTCGAATCTCCTCCTTGCGTTGCCGCCGACACTTTTTCAAGCCTGTGGTTTGTGAATCTGAGGAAGAAGAGTTAAGTGTAGATATGCTTCTGTCTGGACACTTGCTGGAATCCTCGGCTTCTTCGTCTTTTCTTGTCGCCCAGCGAGAAGTGAAGGAAGGTGGCTCTTTGTTTGTGTCTTTTGTACTAATCTATTTCTATCCACTTGCTTTTTATTCTATTATTTTTTTCATTTTTTCTTGTTTTATTGTTAAAACCTAAATATTTTAAATCAACTGGACTTCTATTAAATTGTAAAAATCTATTAACAAATCTCTACAGAATTAAACATAACTAGACATCAGGAAAATAGACTATAAGATAATTAGCAATTGGGTAATTTTTTATTGTGTTACATTGATTTTTTTTCAATTTTTTTTTCATAGATGTTTGTTACGTGATTACATAAACTAATAGATTTTCTGATTAGCAGAGTTGACGAAGACAATAACTAGATGTTTGTTACGTGATTACATAAACTATTATTTGGATCGGTCGATCAATGAAATGTATTAATTATTATGTGATTTAGTATTTTGTCCGACAATAATGGGAAGTGGCAACCAGTGTTTCGTATATTTATTCGTATATTTTGTATCATCATAATTTAAAATTATAACATTATATTTTAATTTTTCTTTCTATTTTACAAAAGTTTTTTTGTTATATAATTTCAGTTGGATCCATGCAGAATTCTCTGTATAATGATGTGTTGCTGGCCCAATGGAGGGCTTATATATTGATTAACGGGCTATTATTGGGCTTGCTTTCAGTATTCAGCGTATTTTGATAGTAAGCATTTCACTTTATATGATTCTATTAAAGACCCATTTCGAAAGCCTGCTCCTTTTGTAATGAGCTAAACATTTGTTATTTTCTAGTTATGCAGCTTCTATGGTGTGAACCGGGTATCATGTGATAGCACTCAGGAGGGTTCATCAGAGCAACAGATTTTACTTAGACAAGATTAGTTGTAATATTAGATTAGGAAATCATGTATTAATCATTCAAATGATCAAATCTTAGGACTTAGGATAAGCTAAGTAGTCATGAAACTAAGTAAGAGCTTTAGATAAGTTGGAGTTGCAATCCATATCTTATATACCACAACACAAGCTACACAACTCATATGAAAGTCTGCTACTGTTTTACTAAGACCAAATGGTTAAAATACCAAAGCAGTTAATCTTTTTAATGGTAAAGATAAAAACGTGGTGAAATTAAGCTTACCCTATTTAAATGTGTAGACATGCTCCTCTTTGGCCATAGTAACATTCAATACTTTCCATTTCAATGCCATGAAAATGTTTGGTCTAAATTTATTTCACCTCTACCCATGTAACCTAATTTTACAAGCTATTTAATACATATCCATTGTATATATATTCACAAAACTTATTAGTTAATGTAACTATTTTTCAGTAGTAACCAGAAAACTATATAGTATAGCTCAGTATGTTGGTGAGCTTCGTATACATTATAATATGAAAGGTTGCAGAATTCACGATGGTATACTGAACCAAGCAAACCCGCCTAATTATTGTACCCCACTAGCCAACATATATTTAATAACCTGTTGATTTGATCTAATTATATCGAATAATATTTGATTTCATGTGCTGGAATTATCATCATCATTGTTGATTTTTACGGCGTGTTATAAAAATATTACGCTTTATTGTAGGTGCTTTTCCGCACGATCTAATAAAAAAATCATTAAACTGGACCAAACACAATTAACAACTACCTATAGGAACTGATACTAGTATATGTTTTTCATCAATCATCATCGTGCTTATCCAGCTTTGTCTACATCGCATTCACAAGATCATGAAAAGTAAATCTACGATGTAAACTACATTATATATTCAGTTTAAGAAACTATATTATATATCCAGTTGAAACTATATTATATATTTGCCCTTTTTCAAAAAAAAAAACTATATTATATATTTATTTAGCCTCTTTTGTTTAGTATCTCATACTTTAGAAAAATTAATTATACTAATTGTCCCTAATTGACGTTATCCCAGTGCAAAGTTCTATTTTGTCAAACTCCATTATCACAAACTCATTCGCCACGTATACTTCAAGTAATTCGGAATAACATTTTGTTCAAATCCTTTGTTCTCGCAATATTGAGCGTAAAAAGCAGATGCAGTAAAAACAAATTGTATTCTTCAGTTTAACGCTGATTTATATCATACAAAATGTTCATATCCAGATTTACTCTGGAAATACTCTAGTCATTTTGGGGAATTTGTTTTAGTTAAAAAAAAATCTACTCATATACGACTGTTGAAGCATATGGAATAATGATATAACCGATTTTCCGAGTACGTGATGGATGGCCAGCCCTAAATGAATTTTAGATTTATCTTCGAGACGTCATCCACAAACAACATTAATTTACAGATCCCAACGCCGTATTTATCGCTCTACCTGTCGGCTCAAAGTGTCAGATCAACATGAATTTCCGATCAACTTTACTCGATTACGATATTTATTAAATTTAAAATAGTTGGATCAAAGAAGCATCGTTATCTTTTCTCGTGGCGTCTTTCACAATCGCACGTAAGACACGCAACCGTTACACATCTCACATCCTACCAAGACACACCTAAAACGCTAGTTTTACAGAATCTTTAACCTTTTTATCACTTCACATAATCTTATTTTATTAATTACTTTTGTAATCTCAACCTCATGTCCTCAGTTCTCAATAACATTTCGAATTTTAGATAATCTTGACGATGGTGATTAATTTCTTTTCATTTTTTTTTACTTTTACTATCATCAGAATGTGATGTTAACTAGATCGGATCATCGGGTGGCATAATGATGCAGACCATGGTAACACATTATACAAACCTATTATGGCCGACAAAAATAATTGCCTGCAAAGGCAACTCATTTTCACGTGACATCTCTCACTTGCATGGTTATTTTGAAACTGCTAGTTAAATTTTATTAATTACCATCACTACATATGTAACTAAGTTCCAAATATTTGCCAGAGTGGAAATTTATATACAATGTAAGTGACTAAGTGAAATTGTTCGTTCGTTCACAAAGCAGCAAGCAAATATATATTATTTTGAACATTTACATAATTCATAATGTTAAAAAGAGAATAAAGATTCCATCCATCGAAAGCAAATGTAATATTTATAGAGTGGGTCGACGTGTAAAGCTGAGAATCATTACATAAAATAAATAAAAAGTTACCGAAATAAAGGAACCTTTAACATTATTGTGCTTTAACTCCAATTATTGATCATCTTCGGGAACAAGAACGGAAACTTCTCCGTCGCCTGACCAACGCGAGAGCCGTCGTGGTGCTGGTGGTTGTTGTGGGGGCTGACGTCGTGGTCTGGTTGTAAACAGAGGCGAAGAAGCGTTCTATCTCATCTTTGTTAACTATGATCTCAAACTTTGAGGGCGTCAAAAGCTTCCTCTTGCAAGATCTGATGAGAGACGATGGTGACGGAGGTGGGCGACGTTTCTGAGGGGGAGGAGGAGGTGTAGTGGCGGTGGAGGGAGGAATCTTGTGGTCGGTGGAAGTAGGAGTGGTGCAGCCGCCGCCGCCGTAATCATCTATGTTGGTGTTGTTGGATGGGATCTTGATGGGTGATGGGAACTTCAACATGGGCAGATCTTGTAGTAGTTCAAGATCCATTTTCTATAAAATATTAAACTGATTTGTTCTTGAAGGTTTTGTTTCTGTGTTTTGTCGTGTGCCTGAACAAATCTTCTTAGAGAAGTGGACTAGTGGGTTTCTTGTATATATTTGCTTCTGTCTTTACTTACATGCTTTATGTGTATATATATATATATATCTTAATATATAATTAGAAAGATAATAGATGTCACTCTTCATTTACTTGAGATAAAACTATGTCACATTCTAAACAAAGTATTACTAATCAGAATTTACACAATTCTGATAATTAATTAGTATGTACTCTACACTTTAGTTTGATCGTTAAAATCACTCTTTCTCAGTACAATAGTCTAAATAACAATGTAGTTAAACTACCTTTTAATTAGTAAAAAATTGCAAATTAATTTTCTGTTTTTTTTTGTAACTGAGTCAATTCTTTCTTGAACTTAGCCATTTAAACGTATACACCATATATGCAAATATTATTATTACTTCCAAAAAGAAAAATGTAAGAGTATATCACAATTTTACTGATGCGAATAGATTAACCTGCATAGTTGCTAAAGTAGTAACATGCATATGTTTGGAAACAATCAAGCAGTAACATGCACAATAGTACAACTACTATTAGTTTATAATAAATTCTTATATTTAGAAGTATTATATAAAAATTAGGTGTATATATACAAAAGGATTCGAATTTCAGATCAAAGTTTTTTAATCTAGAGCTAAACGTAGAGGTTGGTTAGAATTTATGTCGTGTACCGCAAAAGAGACTAGATACATGTGTTTAGACTTTAGACTTTTGGTACAAGACGTATCATACATGCAAATTTGATCTAAACATAATATCTGTTCGTCTGATCTGACATATTGTTCACTAGGTGTGTTTATACTGCAGTGTTGTATATAACAAGCGGTTTAATTTTTATTATGTTTTCATCAGATCCAATCCATTACGAGAGGAACAAGGCTAATTCATTTATTAGTTAAGATTCCATTGGTATCTTCGTATTATTCTTGTTGATTAAGATATTTACATTGGATCTGCACGATATCACACGTTCGAATTAATCATGTTTTTTATATATGCCTGCCTCCTGATGCCAAATATATACTATTATTTACAGATTAAATCGTTATTTAGTTATTTGAAACTAGAAGTCAGCAAATACACGACGTATAAGTGTACACAGACTTGGTTATAAAAGGTCATTACGTATTATTGTGCAGAGAATCTAACATCTAAAGATAAGCCACGTGTTTACTTTAGAGGAGGCATGTGGTGTGATGTAGGGTAGATCTGTGAAAGTGACTGGCACTATGATCAGACGATGAAGTCCAAGAAAAAGGTACATAAGAAGAAACGATCCTCTGAATCTTTCCCAATATCTGAATCTCACTGTCTTTTTTCCTTTCCATTTCTACTTTGATTTTTAACACAAGTATAGATTTTTTTTACTTTTCCTTCTGAACTACTTTAGTTGTTGACAACAACAAATAACTTTTGTTAGTACTCGAGCGTTCGTGCTGCGTTTCAATTTTTTTTGGTATTGATGATATAATATGACCAATAGAATGATGTTATTTAGATAAGTTGATTTGTAAATTTTATATATGACCAATAGAATGATGTTATTTAGATAAGGTGATTTGTAAATTTTAAATTTTAAAATTGAGTATCGGTTTTACATGAATAATGTGACGCTATATATGAAAAGAAAGAGCTAGATAATTTTAAAAGAAATACAAGGATTTGTTGTCAAAAAATGCAAGGATTTTATTCTGGTTTCAGTTTTATGCGAGCAGATCTAGGAATAAAAATCCAGCTAGAACTACTTGAAATAATATAAATGAATCGATCTTCAAAATGATACTATTACATATCAATAACTTTTTGGTTGACATATGTGAACACAACACTTTTAACCACAGATTGATTTATTAGATTATGAACTGCGACGTGGTTTAGTTAGTAGATATTATTTCTTTAATTTTCTTTAATATTTTATCCGTTGTAAAGTACGATGGAGGCAAGGGAATATTGGAGATTGTTAATCACAACAATCATGGCAATCACTATAACTAAGAGATTCAAATAATTAAAAATAATAATAATTAGTAAGTATTTCTCTTTTAAATTTTATATTCTCTAACTTTACTATGCTCTTTCTAATACAATAGTAAGAAACTGTGATATTAGAAATTTTACACAGGGAAACAAGTGGATAATGATCATGAATCCTCTCTTGGATGTTTTATGTTTCTTGTCCTATTGTTTATTTAAAAAATGTATCAATTATCCAAACCTATATATATGCACACTACCAAACACAAATACAGTACTAACATTGTAAAGGAAGATAACGTTATATAAAATGAGAAAATCGTTGTAACGACGAATATAGCACATAAATTGTAATAAAAGTAGTGTATACAAAATATTGATATTTATCAATTTTTTTACATTTATCAAATTTGTTAACTTAAACAGTATTGGCTTTTGTTTGCAAAGATATTTTGTTCGGCGAGGTAAATTACGATGATATGAGATTTTGCATTGAAACAAGTATTCCATCCGTTTCTGAATAATTGTCATTTCTATATGTTTTTGAATAAGTATCATTTTAACATTTTCACATAAATTAAGAAAATTACGAAAATATATATAAGATGTTATTAATTATATCTCTTTAATCAATAGTATTTGAGATAAATAAAATTATTTATAAAATCAATGCAGTTTTCAATTAATTTTCAGCTGAAATTAAATATAATTTGTATTTGAGTTATAAAGTGACAATTTTGTAACAAAAAAGAAGAAGTTAAAATAACACTTATTATGAAATATAGGGAGAGTATATGTTTGTGTTGCAATTTTCATCACAAACACTAAAACTCTCTGTTCAAAGTTAAATTATAGTACTGGGACCATTTATACCAAACCCATCAACTTTTCTTGATTCTTTTCGATTGTCCCCATACCATTTAATTTTGTGAAGTCGTTACTTCACTATTTTCGATTGATCCAGTTCGCAATTAATAAAATGGTTTACCCGTTTGGTCAGTTATTGATGTAGACATGTAGAAAATGAAGCTTTACACGGGTTAGCTTTCCAAAAGTTATGTAAAATTTAATTATTCATGGTCCCTCTCTCTGTTTAGTAGATGGCTGAAAAAAGGTTTGTTGAAGGGTCGATTGAGTCCAAACTCGCATGTGAATTGGTCTACCTTCAGATACTCTTGTCTAAAGTATTGAGATATTAGATAAAATCAGGTACTAGAACTTGCTTTAGTAATGATTTTTCTTCTTCTTACTTTTTTTTTGTTACATGTCGAGGGTTCCTCTAGACTCTCAATGAAAATGAATCTGCATAAGGGTGGTCGTTAGCATTGTTGGTCTTGAGTCATGTCATCTTCAACATCTGCGGATGTAAATTATTTTGTTTGATAACGTTGAACACAATTATTATAGTTTATATCTCGTAAATGATCACAAATTATTGAATGGCCCGTTAGAGTGGCCAATGTTGGCTGAACTGTAATGATAATAAGATATGCAGCATCATTATCAAATTGCAATGTTCTAGAACAAATGAATCGTAGCTTACATACAAAAGTAACAAAACACCATATAAAAGATAAACAAAATAAAAACCTAGTGGCTAAAATAAAATGAATATTTGCTTCAATGCTAGCTATCATCGTGTGAATATCATGTGTTTCGTCGAGACTGTGCCCGAAGTTGTTGTAATCTCATGTGTCTCATCCTCCGAGTGACTTCTACTTGTAACCATTTTTGATTCTGTCGTTGAGTTTCTCCTTAGTCTACGTTTCTTGTCCATTTTCAATCGGTATATTTCTTCACGTTCCCTCTCGTAAACACCTTTCCTATGTAACAGTTAGGAACCTGCAGTTTCCTTGGGGCCTGGTTAAGGATGTCACACATATAGACCAGAACTAGGCCCGTTTAGCTAAGTTATGGGCCTTGTGCTCAAATAATTTCCCCAAAATATTTAGAGTTATATTTATCTAAATTAGGACCATATCTATATGTTTTTTCAACAAACAAAGACCCACATTTCTTAAGGAAATTTTCCACAAAAAAGGACCATGTGCATTTGCACCTTGGTACTCACCAAAACAGGCACTGACCAGAACATAAGTGCATTTTTGTCTAATCTTGTCCATAAGTAAACAATTTCCCCCTTGGTATCCTGTTGTATAATATTTTCCACGGATCCTTCAGCTTCAGATGATAACGAGACCTGTCTCCTCCGCAGCAAAAGCGTGTCATTAATCAGTGTCGAAGTTACACAATAGTTGCAAAGACGGGTTTGTGCCTTTCAATAAAATGAGTATTAATTTGCATGTAGCGTGACAATTTAGTTCGAAACAATCAAAATCAAACGAAAAAAATAAATTAATCACTTGTCTAGTGTCACTTTACAGTTGTGCACTCAGAAAAAAAAACAATTAATTTTACATATTTCTTATATAAAAATATAATTATCTAAACACCTAACCATATTTTAACCAATAAAAAAATAAACTACATTATAAAATTAATAAATTTTACTTTAAAAACTAAAAACGACACTTATTTTGTAACGCAAAAAAGTTATCTACAGCGACATTTAATATGAAACGGAGGGAGTATCATTTATCAAATGTTATATCACTATTCACCAACGTATAACGCAAATCAAAGCTGAAATTAATGCAATCTGCATTTTGCAATATTAAATGTAGCAGACTTTTATTTTTGTATTCAATGTGTCAGATCAATTACTGTATTTAGTTATTTACGTCAATAATTAAATCGGATTTCAGAATAAGCCAAAAAATCTTCCACGAAGAGGAAAAAAAAACACAGTTCCTAAATAGGATATGCCCATTAGTTATTACCATAACAAGGTTTTTTTTTTAAAGTAACAAGGTTAGTACAATGTCCTTAACTATATGAGGTAAGAAATAACGAGATTTTCATAATGAGTTAGATTTCCGATTCTCAATTATTTAATGAGAGCGACACATCGTAGATAACGTTCTCATTATAACTAAAATACAAAAATAACGAAATTATTAGCATATCTCTCAAAACTTCTCATCCTCCCAACTCATCCATCTCTGCTTCTTCCCGTGAGGTGTTTTAAATGGCAGCAGCCTTGCCTTTATCTCCCGTTAGTCATCAGTTATGTCGGAGAAGTAACAGGTTCTGGTATAAGTCTATGACTTCCCGGTTCTGTCCGCCGAGTTTCTTGGTTTCTTCGCCTTGTTACATTGGCGTGAAAGGAATCGGCTCGTCGAGTCAGTTACGAGCTAGCCACCCTCTGATCTCATCTTCAGCGGCTTCGATGGATTATCTATTGCATGACGTAGGAGCAACAGTGGCTGTTCTTGGTGGAGCTTACGCGCTCGTCTTACTCTTCGAGAGTCTCACGAAACGAGACGTGATTCCACAGGTCTCTCTTTTTAATCGTTTTTGTAATGATCTAAACTCTTGAAGTTCGAGTTTCTTTATTTTCTTGTTTAGATTAAAAATTAAATGATCAATAAAAATAACTTTTAACTAGATTTGGAGCCGAATGGTTTATACAATATATTCATTTAAATTTTGAGGACCAAAACTAATGTTTGATTTTGTTATCTTCATGACCGGTAGATTGATGTTTATTTATCACATAATGTTACAAAACTGATGCAGTAATAGTTAGGAACAAGAACAACAGTAAACTTTTTATTTTCTTGGAAAACAGTGATATACTTAATGAAAAGAAACAATGGAGTTTGATTCTCTAATCACTTTTCTATAATTCTTGAAATGTTTTGGATTAAACAGAGATTGAGCAGAAAACTTGTGCATATACTCTCAGGTCTGCTTTTTGTACTCTCTTGGCCAATCTTCAGGTATTGATTTGCAGCCAATGAAACCTCTCCACCACTTAAAAACTTCAGCATCATGATTGCTTTTTTTTTTCTTCATTTTTAATTAAGTTTAGCGCATCGACGGAGGCTCGATACTTTGCTGCTTTTGTACCGTTAGTGAATGGTCTAAGGCTTGTTGTCAACGGTTTGTCTGTCTCCCCTGACTCTACGCTTATCAAATCAGTCACTAGAGAAGGACGACCAGAGTAAGTTGTCTGTTTAACCTAGTAGCTACCTCTTTGTTCATTCTCCAAACTCTGATGAGTTTGAACAATCTTCTCATGACACACTTCTTGTTTTCTTCTAACCAAATTGTCCCCTAGAGAGTTGCTTAAAGGTCCATTATTCTACGTTCTAGCCCTTCTCGTTGCTGCGGTTTTCTTCTGGAGAGATTCTCCTACCGGTATGATCTCATTGGCCATGATGTGCGGTGGTGACGGTAACATTTCTTATCTTGAAAACAAGTCTCTATCGGTTAAACACTAAATATCATAGTTATAACAAACTTAATGTACTAAATTCTTGAAACTTCAAACCAGTTCAATATGATAATTACTAATTATTAGAAATTTCTTTCGTCATCCATGATAACTATGTAGTTATAAATCTGTACATTTTATAAACACACATAAATATATATATTATCTAAGTTCTGCAAAAATGATATAATTTGTAGGAATAGCTGATATCATGGGACGTAAGTATGGATCGCAGAAGATACCTTACAACCCAAGAAAGAGCTTGGCGGGAAGCATCTCCATGTTCATATTCGGCTTCTTCATCTCCATCGGGTAAAAAAAAACACCAAACCCACAACTAATGAATCATTCATCCATAATGTCTTCTTCTTGATGAACAACTCTTAAAAGCTGAGCAAGTTTGCAACTAAACCAAAACGTTAGTTCTTTTGTAATAATATGCAGATTACTTTACTATTACTCGAGCCTTGGGTACCTTCACATGAACTGGGAAACGACCTTTACGAGAGTCGCAATAGTGTCATTGGTCGCTACGTTGGTGGAGTCAGTACCCATCACCGATCAAATAGACGACAACGTTTCGGTTCCTCTGGCTACTATTTTAGCTGCTTACCTAAGTTTTGGATATTAGATTGATCCCTCATAAACTGTATGAGTTGTATTTGTATGAATACTTCTGACCTGGGAATGCAGCCACTAATATGCTACCAATTGTATGTATATGTTTTACTGTTGCTGCGCAAAGATTCATAACTAATACTCCCTCCGTTTCTTTTTATAAGATGTTTTAGAAGGTTTATGTTGTTTCAAAATATAAGAAGTTTTGAGATTTTAAGATATGTTTTAAAGTTTTAAAGTTAACTTTAACTTTATTGGAAACTGTTCAACCAATAAAAAAATCTAGTCTTTTTTATAATTGGTTGAATGATTTTAAAAGTGTATCATTAAAAGTACTTTTTAAAAAAAAAGTAAATATCTTAATCTCCGTGCATTCAACCAAAACATCTTATAAAATGAAACGGAGGAAGTATGATTTCGGGTTAAAAGTGTTCGATGCATAGGAAAAACAAATTGATCATTTCAGATAATATGAATTTTGTAGAAAAAATATAGTATCAAAAGTAGTTGGTAACTGATACATTGTTGACAGTTTACCTTAACAAATACAATGCTTATAATTATGAATATAAAATATTTTCATAAGTGCATGAGTTTTTTTTTGGTAGAGACTACCCAAACTCAATTCTTCGGATGTTTTCTCTAACATATCCAAATTCTCACAACTTTGACAACACAACAAACAGAGAGCATTAAATTGAAAAGCTTTGTTTTTAAAAATAGGTCAAACAAATGTATTCCAACAAACTAAAGTCTCACATTACAAAACAAACCAAGTATTCAAAAAAAAAAAAAGAAGACATGTTTGATTTCTCTAGGCACTGCTCTCTTTGACAGCAAGAGGTTCATACCATTGAGGGCCAAAACCAGCAGCTTTTCTTGCTTCAGCATTAAAAGGCGGTTTCAACGGTCCTCTAAAATGCTCTCTTACAACTGAATGAAACTTTTGGATTATCTCTTCATTGATATCATCTGCTTCTACGCTGTTGATGGTAACTTCAGGATTCTTGGACCGTGCACATAGATACTTGAACCATTTGACTCCAGCTGCACAGTGAGTGATTTCTTCAGGGTACACAACTTTCTCCAGTAAATCTGCTGTCTCGTTATCACCTCCATTCCTAAACCTGGAAATCGTCGTGGGCAATACATCAAGCCCCCTTGCCTGCAAATGGTACAAAAAAGAAACACCTCTAAAAACTATTCTTCAAATATAAACAGAGAGTGAAAGAAAGAGAACTAAACGATAATTTTTAAGGAGCTAAGGACACAATACTCGAATGAAACTTTCACAAGTCCATATGGGTTTTTGAGTAATCTTTCTCACCTCGTGAACGCAATGCTCTACAGCCAAACGAGCCAAAAGATCCTGAGAAGTAGCAGTTGCAGAGTCCCAAAGACCGTCATGAGCAGGCAATGCACCGTAACGAGAACCAAGTTCCTCAAGCCGAGCTGCAAGCAGGGAGAAGTGACGGCCTTCGTCCTGAGCAACCCTAACAAAGTCTGTGAAGAACTCTCTCGGCATCTTCTCTTGTTTCCCAAAACGAGCAATTATATCCTAAGCATTAACAAACATAACCATCAAACCCAAAGTTTACTAATTATACAATCTTTTTTTAGATCTAAAAGAAGGATTGGTTACCCATGATAAGTCAATAGCCCAGCTTTCAGTATGAGCAAGACTATGAACAATAGCTTGCCTGCTCTGCAAGCTACCAGCTCTTCCCAGCTTTGGCATCAAACTTGGAGACACCAACGTCACCTACAAGATTTAAAATCAAACTCAAGCTTTCGTCTCAAGCAAGTTCGTATACACAGATATAGATGAGACAGATAAGTACGTTAGTGAGACGAGCAGGCCTGTCCATGACGGGGAGATCGACGGCGGGATCGTAAGGTTCGGAGATAGCACCTTGGAGCCATTTGACGGCGATTGAATCTCCAAGCCGAGCTTTTTCGAACGGGTCAGCTGTGTTCAGAACCTTAATCGCCGACTCAATTAGGGTTTCGCTATCCATGTTTTCTCTCTCTCTCTCTTGACTCGTTGGTTTTGACCGGCGGAGTTTGGTTGGTGGCCGGCACGTGATGTAATTAAATTCTTGTATGTTTTAAATAAATTCTACACGCGAGCGCAGAGAGTGGATTACACGCCCTTGAAATCACGTAGATTCTAAGCGCGTGGATTGTTTTAGTCCTCTCTACTGCTTTTAAAGTCAAAGTAATAATAATTTAATTATGTCGGATTGGAGCCGATAATTTAATTAGTAGCACTAATATATTGTTAAGCATACTTATATTTGTCTGATGACCCCTTGTATTATTTATGATCATGTAAAGTTGGCATCAAACAAATATTTGTATTTATTGTATATACTATAATGTACAAAAGTATATTAATGGTATAAGCATGTTGAATTTTGATATAGAATAAAAGCACTAATCTCCAGTTGGCCAACTATGCAATTACATGTTATGCATTTCATAAAACTTGTAAAATCACAACTTCCTGCATGTATAATACAATAAATTTTATACATCTAAGAACTTTGGTTTCAAAACTTGACAACCTCACATACGAACCTAAGGAGAAGAGAACAAGCACACAAAAAAAAAAACAAGCACACAAGTCGGAACTTTAAATCCGAAAACAAGAAGTCTTCTGTATCGCCTACATAGACAAAAACAACCTTGACACATGGGTATATGCAGTAAGTAGTACTCAACCACAATAAAATCGTAGAAACAATATACAATCCATCATCATCCTACTACAAACAAATCAGAATTTGCAATCCACGAAGCAGAATAGTAAGGAAGAGATAAGATAAAGAGACGTGCAGATCATAATACCTCTCTCATGGTAATCGAGCAATGTAACAGCTTTTTGTCTTCGGGTTTGGTTCAAGCTGCATAGGATAACTGAGCTGCGCCCATGGTTTGGTTTCCTTGGGGGTGAGTTCCCGAGGTCAAAGAGGTACTAAACATGTAGTCTCTGAGAGACTCTCTAGTTATCTGTGTCCAAGCATTTCTCAAGGGTTTTAATATTACTGGTACACTCTTGAAGAGCCTTAGCGTTAAGTTCCCTGCCAAATCTCCAGACATAGTTGAGTCCAACAAGAAGCTCCGTAATGATGGCTTCTGTCTTCTGCTGGTTTGCAAAGAAAAGGGTTTGCGCAAGAACTATATGCGTCCTCGAAACCAAGCTTTGGTGCTCGTAACTCCTCTCCGATTGCCATTTTATCATGTTGTGAGCTAATGGACCCAACCACTCCAAGATACCCGCCATAGCGTCTGTCCATTCTTTCGCTAGTCCCGGATCATAAACTGTTGAAGAACTCAAGTTTTTCGAGTAAGGCTTTAGCCTCTCTCTCAGCGATGTTCTCACGCTAGCCGGTAACATGTTGTAAAGATCGTCTCTCGCGTCATCCCCTATCAAATGAGGAGACGCAACAAACCTCTCTATCACGATGATGACGTTAGCATAGTGTAGCGCTAAGCAAGCTGCGCCAAGGGTATTAGGAGCAGCATCTGACAACTTAGGTCGAGAAGGAAACGCCAAGTTCTCAACATGGAGAGAGTTAGGAATATGATGCTCCCCGCTACTACTATTCCTAGCTCCATTCCGGTTCCTAGTGCTGAGTGGAGTAATACCATCTTGAGACACCATGCAGCCTTTAAACGGACCAACCTGTGTTAACCGATTGGTTTTCATTTGCTTCTTCGCTGAGGAAACTGAATGCCTTTCCGGAGTCTGTCCCATCTTCTTGTTGTGTTTGCCAATTCCAATAAGTGGTCCTGACTTGGAAGTGATCTTCCCGAGAGGACCCGAGTAAAACTTGAAACGTTTGGTCTTTTCTGCAACAAGAGGACCTGACATAGGAGACTGTGTGCTGAGAGTATCCGAAAGAAAATCACTCATCTTCGCTGACCTTGTAGGAACTGAACCTGATGCTGGACCTGTACACTTTCCAAGGGGACCAGAAGCAAATCTAGGAGGACCAATACTACTCTCAGACTGATTCGACAGTTGTGTCAAAATTGTAGAAACCGATTGGCTCCGACCAATGAAATCAGAATCCACAGAGCTAACATCACTAGCCTCTTCTGCTCTGTAACTAATCCCAAAAACATGTCTACTCCTTATCAAAACCGTGAAAACCGATCTAACCAAAAGAAGCACCGTATAATCATAACTACGGTTCCAAAGAGACAAATCCCTCAGATTCTTCACCTCATGTCTTTTCCACGTCACTCTCTTCTTATACTCCAAAACACTATCACCCGCACATTCATTACTCACCATCCTCCTCACCGTCTGCTCAAGATCCGCCAAAATCTCACTCTCCTGATAAAGACTCCCATTAACCGAAATAAACCGCTCCATCTTCTTAACTTTCCCATCCATCTTCCTCCACCCAAACTTCCACCCGTAAGGATCAGCACCACTCTTCACCACCTCGTTAAAACAACTCTCGAAACCCTTCAGCTTCGGATCGTTGCATTTACCAGCGAGCCTAGCGACAGCTTTGGCTACACTCTCAACGTTCTCCATCGTCTCGTCGCGTATTAGCCTCACGATGAAGTCGTCGTCTTCTGAGATTAGCTTCTTGATCCCCGCGGAGCGTGTTATCTCGTCTCTGAGACGTGTGACGTTCTTGTCGCTGAGGGAGTGCCATAAGTGGACGAGTTTGGAGAGTAGACTCGCAACCTCGAAGGATAATACTCCGAGAAGAATCTCTTTATGAGTTTGGTCGTGTTGTTTCTTTGGGAATCTCCATAGGTTACGAAACCAAGTCTCTGAAACCATTCCTCTCTCTCTCTCTTTAACCTAGTGAACACAGATACAATCAAATGAACAATTCATATCCAAAAATCTGGAATCTGGAGTTGAATTCAAATCGTGAGCAAAAACTAACATGGAGAAGAATCTAGCTACGGAGCTCTCAAAGTTTACTCGGAATCGCAAAATTCTACGAACTAACAGATCGGGTAATATGAGTGGGGAAGAAGAAGAAGCAGCTTACCGATGATCATTGGAGGAAAAGTTGTGAATGAGAGAGAGAGAGAGTGATTATGAGAGAGAGGGGAAGAAGATGACTATAGACACATCATCACCCACATGGAGATGGAGCAGTTAAAGCAGCAAATTGTGGAGAGAGAGTGAGAGAGAGAGAGAATCCTATATTTTCCTTTTTTTTTTCTTTTTTTTTTTTTTAGTACTTTTGAGTTTTGATACCTACATTTACAGGTAGCGGAGATTTTTAGAGGAGATATGGATTAGGTGAGAGTAGAAAGAAGCTGTTTTTTGTTCTCTGGGAATATGATTATTTGGGTTTGAGCTCACAATCCTACTCAATCTAACACTGCTGCTAACGTAAGCATTTTTAAGTCACCAAACTAAAGATTATATTATTTCTTCCACTTCTTCATATGTTTTTTTTTTTACTTCAAAGTAGGCAGTCCAAGAGTTCTGCGTTAATATGTGGTTATACCACTTACTATCGTTTGCTTGAGTCAACTTTGGCAGAACTCAAGAAGGAGGTAAATAGAATGGAAGAGTCCCCTCCTGGGATATCTATATCTCAAGCTGAAAGCGTATCGATGTATCTTTTTTATGTTTCTAGGACTGTCTTGTTTGTCCTAATGGGTTGCTGCCAATATGGCTGCAATGATTGCAATTGGAAGTGTTGCTTCTCTTTTGGATGTTCTCTTTTTATGTTTCTAGGACTGTCTTTTATGTTTGTGACAGCTTATTTAGTATGGGTGCACCAATGAGAGAACTAACTCAGCTACGGAAGAAGCATGGTTTCTTACTAGCCATTGATGATGTAAGTTGAGTGACTATTCACGTTTAAACTTTTTAAGGTGTTTGTGTTTTCCTGTAGAAATAACTATGAGTGGATCAGTCAGTCCCATGGAACATTTGTTTGTGGAGAAAATTGTGGTAACGTGAAGCCGATGTAGCTTTATGTGTGGGTACTTTGAGTAAGGCAGCAGGGTGTCATGGAGGTACAAAATCATGAACCAAGAATTTGTTTTAGGTGGTGGTTTAGATCTCTAAGGTTCATGAAAGCTTAAATGAATAATTTTTCTGAATTGTTACAGTTGAGACAGAGATTTGAATGTTGTGGTAGACTGGTAACAGCAAAAAATGGAAGCAACTGATCCAGTCTATAGGTCGTTCATTCATATTTTCAACAGCCATGCCTGTCCTAATGGCTGCAGCTGCTTATGCTGCGGTTGTAGTGGCGAGGAAGGAAGGATGGAGAAGAAAGGCAACATGGGAGAGGGTGAAAGACTTTGAGGCATTGTCTGGAGTTCAAATCTCAAGCCCAATTATCTCACTTGTTGTAGGCAATCAAGAGAAATCCCTTCTAGCGAGCTGGTTCACACACATCTTCCTCTCTTTCTCTTCTTCTTCCTCACACATTGTATAGTTGATTGTTCTTTTACATTGTTGCAGGTATTTACTAAAATCAGGCTTCCATGTAGTGGCAATAAGACCACCTACAGTGCCACCCAATTAATTCATGCAGGTAAACAGAGAAAAAAATCCATATTTATCAGCCATTGGATCATATCCATATCGATGAAACTCGTGTTCTCTTTGTTCAGGTTAAGGGTGACGCTGAGTGCAACACATACCACAGAAGATGTGAAGAAGCTCATCACTGCTCTTTCTTCTTGTTTAAACTTTCATAACACCACTCATATTCCCTCATTTTTTTCTCCCAAACTCTAACACCTTTTCTTTGTCTCAGTCATTTGATCACTTGAATTAAACATACAAACATGTTTAAATCTATGAATCAACTATTTGCGTGTCCATTTAGATACAGCTGGAAATTTCTGACATGTAAATTAAATTAACAAACAAGTCAAACACGTTTATTCGATATTTTTTTTAAAGTATACAATGATGGTGTCGAACTTCTGTTTAGCTAGTTATTTATTGTTTTGGGGTCTACCAACATTGGAAAGTGAATAATAGCTTCCTGCAGACATTTATATTTCCCAGGTTACAAATAACCTCTAATTCTATTGAATAAGCAGTTGAATGCAATAAAAGTTTTCAAATAAATTATCTATGTCACTCTCACAATCACAGCTAATTTTCACGGGATATATAATGTTCATCAAGTGGTCCGGTATACACCATTCTATTTTCATTATAAGTCCGTAATTTTATCTACTTTTACCAGCATCTCTTAAATATATGGGACATCTCATGTCCTGTTTTAAGCTTTACATCTAACTCCTATGTTCAGCACATGGGTTTGGTAGATGTAGTCTTGGTGAACATTAAAATTTAACCTCCCAATCAACATGCCTTGTTTCAGTGAGCAGACACAGTCCACAGTATGTTGACTTTGACTTTTGAGCAGTGATAAAGAATGTAGTTGACCAAAATAGTACAAACATCATTAAACTTGAATTTAATGTTAGCATGCATTACTCTGTTTCTATATTTATATCATCTTCTTCACTCACTCTTGCATGCAGTGATTCAAGAAGAGCTAATAATGTCTCTCTTCTCCTTTTCTTCTCTTGGTTTAACATTCCTTGCGATTATCATCTCCGGTTTAATTTTCACACTCACTCAACGGAACTCTAAAACAAAGAAACGTTTAAACCTTCCTCCAGGCCCACCGGGCTGGCCGGTAGTCGGTAACCTATTCCAATTCGCGCGCTCAAAAAAACAGTTTTTCGAATACGCAGAAGACCTCAAGAAAACGTACGGCCCGATCTTCACCATAAGGATGGGGACTCGAACAATGATCATCCTCTCCGACGCCACACTAGTCCACGAAGCCTTGATCCAACGCGGATCTCTCTTCGCCACCCGACCCGCCGAGAACCCGACCCGAACAATCTTCAGCTGCAACAAATTCACCGTAAACGCCGCCAAATACGGTCCCGTGTGGAGGTCCCTTAGGCGAAACATGGTGCAGAACATGCTCTCCTCGACCCGGCTCAAGGAGTTCGGATCCGTGAGACGATCCGCGATGGATAAGCTCGTCGAACGGATCAGATCGGAAGGTGACGACGATGGAGGAGTTATCTCGGTGCTTAAGAACGCGAGATTCGCCGCGTTTTGTATTCTGTTGGAGATGTGTTTCGGAATCGCGATGGATGAGGAGGCGATCGAGAAGATGGATGAGATGATGAAGACGGTGTTGATGACGGTTGATCCACGGATCGACGATTATCTCCCGATCCTCGCTCCGTTCTTCTCCAAAGAGAGGAAGCGAGCTCTCGAAGTTCGCCGCGAACAGGTTGAGTTAGTCGTGAGTTTGATCGAGAAGCGACGGAGAGCGATTCTGAATCCGGGATCTGATAAAACGGCGCCGTCTTTCTCATACCTCGATACGCTCTTGGAACTTAAAGTGGAAGGACGCGAAACGGCGCCGTGTGACGAAGAGATTGTTACTCTATGTTCGGAGTTTCTCAACGGAGGTACGGACACTACTGGGACTGCGATCGAGTGGGGGATAGCTCAGCTGATCGCGAATCCGGAGATTCAATCTCGTCTCTACGATGAGATTAGATCGACGGCTGGAGAACGTAGTGTCGAGGAGAGAGACGTGGATAAAATGGTCTTTTTGCAAGCGTTCGTTAAAGAGCTTCTACGGAAACATCCTCCGACTTATTTTTCGCTGACGCACGCCGTCATGGAAACGACGTCGCTTGGCGGTTATGATATTCCCGCGGGCGTTAACGTCGAGGTTTTTATTCCCGGTATAAACGAGGACCCGAGGATCTGGTCTAATCCTAAGAAGTTTGATCCGGACCGGTTTATTTCGGGTAAGGAAGAGGCTGATATAACCGGGATTAGTGGAGTGAAGATGATTCCGTTTGGTGTTGGCCGTAGGATCTGTCCTGGACTTGGAATGGCGACCGTACACGTGCACCTAATGCTTGCGAGGATGGTTCAAGAGTTTGAGTGGAGTGCTTATCCGACCGGAAGTGAGATTGATTTTGCCGGTAAAACAGAGTTCACGGTGGTTATGAAGAATCCTTTGAGAGCCAAGGTTAAACCAAGGGTTTAAATTTTTTAAATATGTATTTTAGTTTATCTTAAAATTAAAAATTAAGTATTCTAATTATCCAATAATCATTTTGGTTACAAGAGTATAAATTATGGTTAAGAGATTGATTAATATTAGTTATATTTATCAAATAAAACCTTTAGAAAAGGAAAAATCTAAAGTCATTTACAATCTCTAGCGTAGATAAACTATACACATAAACAGAAGTTACATAAACTTATCATGTTTCAAAAAGAACCGAGCTTTTTGATTCAATTCAAGTAAACATTTTTGCCTAGCAATTCTATATTCTTTACCAAATATTATCAGTTCAAGAAAAGGGATGAGACCACCTCGCCGCTTGAATCAGCTACTTTCATGGCTTGTGCAATCTTACGAGTCATCATGGCTTTGTAAAGAGCCAAATCTGCATTCTCTGCTAGAACTTGAGCTCTTCTTCTTTTGAACATGGCAATCTCCATTGATGTATAAGCCAAGGCCTTGGCTTCTTTCACTCTAAGAACAACGTTTTGTTCCTCACAAGCTTCTTGTTCAGCAGCCTTTACAGACACTGTTCACAGAAATTCAGAAGCTTAATCATTCGATTCAAACTCATTCTCGTTAAAAGTATCTAATCTACTTGACTGTTCTAAGCAAGGTTGTTCCATGTAACTCTCAAGTGTATATACTACTAAAAATTTTAGTACTTAGCAAACCAACATATCAACCACAATTCATGACAAAACACATCAAAATACTCTTGAGTTGATGATAATGTTAGAAAGAACATACCAAGACTTGGCTGTTTGGATTTTCCATTGAGTTGACTCCCCTGTCTTTTGAAAGATCTTCTCTTCCGAAACACAGGTTTTAAAAACACCGAAGTCTTCTTCGCTTGATGACCCTGTTCACATAACAAACATCAGTTTTGTAACAGTAATGGGAAAATAAAGAAGTATACTAGAACATGACTGTTACCTGGAAAACTCTGAGAAGTGGTGCTTTCCTCTGCTTTCTTTTCCTTGACCAGTAATCATACACTGCTTCAACCACTTCTTGCCTAGCCAGATACGAAAGACTCGCTACACTAGCTGCTTTCTCGTCCAAGAGTTCATCGGCAGAGCTATGGAAGTAACACTTCTCAAACCCATCAATCATCAACTCAAAAGTATCCTGCCCAAGTTGTTCATCTTCTTCAACAAGCATTTCTTCGTTCTGCCTCTCCAGCCACTCTTCATCTTCCGAATCCATGTCATAAATAGCAGTCCTTCGAGCCATGGCCCTTGAAACCTCATCTTCTTTCACAGATATATAAGGAACCGGCATAGAAAAGGAGGAGAAAGCATCAGCATACCCACACACTTCTCTTACACCAGGTATAGGAATGACTTTCGCATTCTGTTCTAAAACATTCCGTTCATAGCATTCTTTATAAATCTCCTTAAAACCAACCCAATCTTGTCTCTCGCAAAACTCAAGCTTCCAACCATTATCCCCTACCCATACTATAGAATGTGTAAACCTGTTGCATGAGCAAGGTCTCATAGTCTTCCGTGCCTTGATGCTGTATCTGATTGTCTCATCTTTCTTGATAACAATGAACCACTCCTTTGAAGAAACAAACTCCAACGTTGCACTAAAACCTTCTTCTCTGGTGCATCTGTCTGAATCCAAAACCAAAATATTCACAGAACAAGACAGAGAATCAAGTTCCTCTCTTGTCAACGGTCTTGGAGTGACGCTAATCACATTTGAACCCGGAGACGAGTTATTAAGCACCACGGAGCTTCGAAGCTTTCTCGACGATACTGCTACTGTTCCATTGTACAACAACTTGTGTCCACTATGCGAAAGATTCCTTGCTCTTCTCCTTCTTAAAGATCTCCTCCTCTTCTGGATACTATTAAAACCTAAGCTCCCTCTATATTGAGCATTCGAGATTCTCACTGTCACTAAAGGATGCAACCCTCCATTGATCCTCGGATGTGTAGATGAAACTAACTCAGACTCTGAATCAGCTTCTTCAACTGGACTGTTTAGCAAATAGATAGACCTCATAACGAAAGCAAATGAGCTTAGTTCCACTCTGAGGAACATAGCAAAATGCATCTCCATGAAACATCGAGGAATGGCAGTAAAATCAGCTGACAAGAGAGGAAGACAATCTATGCCCCCAAAGAACTTGCATACACCACTTGAGCTAAGAGGAGACTCCTGAAACATTAAAAGATATCATCACTATTCCCTAACCTAAGAACAGACTAGAAGAAACATTAATTAAGTTACTTACCTCAAGAAACCTCACGCCATGATCTGCAAACACGTCGTTGATAGGTTGAGACAAAAAGAAAGAAGCAAGTGAATCCAATCTCAGATGTTCTCTCTTCAAGTACCTCATTACCAAACCAAAAACAGTAGACAACCACGATCCATCACAAGACCAATCTACTCTAAGAGTAACCACAGGAGAAACATGGTCGGAGTGTCTTGTCCGCCTGCGATAAAACTTGAGGCTTTGAAGTGTTGTCTCCTTTGATTCGTCAGAAAGTCTCTTCCTTTTCCTACTATATACAATCCCAAACAGCTTATCTACAGCACCAACAGCTTCTGTTCTCACTTTCCTCCGTTTCACGACAGGAAAGTCTTCAACTTTGTCGTGTTTCTCGGTCGTGATTTTGTCCCCTTTGCCCTTGCTGGGATTGTAATTCCAATCAGGATCCGCAACGTCGTGGGCTCGCTTGATCTTAGGCTCGTCGAAGTTGGGCCATATCCGACGACCCGAGCGGAGGACCCGAGCTCCGTCTCCGGCTTTAACGACTCCGAAAACCCTAGTGGTTCGTCTCATACCCACGGAAGGCATCTATCCGTTATACGACAGCGTTTTTACTCCCTTTGTCTTAAAAACTATAAATAAAATCGCGGATCTTCTTCTTAGAGTCCGATTCGAATCGATTAGATCTATGGAGATGGAAGAGAGTTTGAGAAACTCGATTGAGAGGATCGAGATCTGTTCATGGGTGGTTGATTCTAGAAAGGAGTAGACATGGTGAAGAGAGAAAAGGGAAAGATGAGAAGTTTTCTCACGAATTTTGACAAAGAAGAGAGGGAAGTGAGAGGGTGGCTATCATCTAGGGTTTATGATCTAAGAAATTTTTTCATTTTTAAGGGGGAAGATTGGTCGTGGCCGTTGGATGTTTTAAACGACGGTTCAGATTGATTTGTGCCTCGATGGGTCCCCAAAGGCTATATTTTATTTTATTTTTTGCACACGTAAGCGGCGTATTTTTTGGGTTACACGAATATTAAAAAAATATATGAGTGAGCCGAGAATTTTCAAAAAGGCGAGAATGTTAATTGACAAAAGTACCCTTGTTGGTGACATCTCTCGACTTGTTTAAGACGACACTGTGATAGTGAGAAAGCACAAGAGAGTATATATTACAAGACCAAAACAAATGTCTATTTTATTGACTTTCTATTTTATTTTGGAGTAGGAATCTCTTCTAAAACAGATATTTTTTTTGTCCCGGTAAAATGCTAAAACAGAGTTTATTATAACATGTGATGATGCTTTTATTGCTTTTGCTATTTATGGCTTGGCGGTTTCAGCGTCATCAGCTCCCCAGAAACTTGTTTTCTTTCCTGTCTTTGAGACTGTCTGAAGAACAGCTTCTGGCTCCACGTTTCCTTTTACTGTCACCTTTTGTTCTTTCAGATCCACATCAAATGACTCCACACCTAACCAACCAACAACAATATTCGTTTGTTTGTGTTGTGGACATTTGTAAATAATGTTAAACAATAGATTTAACCTTGCATTTTGCCTAAGACTCTTTTCACAGCTCCAACGCATCCCTCACATGGCATAGCCACCTTTAGAACCACAGTCTACTCCCAAAACAGACCAAAAAGTTTTATAAAAACTCTGAAAAATATTAATGAAAAAAAAAAGAACTTGGCAAGAAGTAAAATCATCTTCAAACACTGTCCCATAATCCCATTAATTGCCTATAGACACCTGATCAAGTTACTCAAATCATCATAGAAGCAAATACTTTTTAAGCTATAAATCAAATGGACGTGACAAGAAGTATAATAGCATCAAGAAACACTGCTTTGAGTCACTAGCTTTAGCCTAGTATGAACTGGATTGATCAATACAAAACAGATCCACCCTTTTCAACTACCATTTCTCATGATTTTCTCCAATTTTATATGATCCTTGCCATCATAACCAGTTTGATAAAAGATGAGGGAAACAACTGACATCGATAGATCCAAGTACAGGTCTCTGTTACAACGGTAAAGGCCGAATTGATTCATACATCACAAAACCAGACACAAATTAAGCATAACATCCCAACAACTCCTAAATACTAAAACCAAAGGCAGCCAAAGCTTGATTCAAGTACCTGAGACATATCTCTTCTCTTTCTCCTTCTTGACGTAAAAGTTTCAACCAAAGCAAAGAATTGTAAAGGAAAGATATGCTTTCGTACTATTTAAAAGCGTTGACGAATTCAACAAATATACTCTTAGTTTTCTTTAGTTAATCAATTATAGAACATCAACTATTCAAGAAAATAACAACGGATGCATAACCATGATGAACGGGTAGCTAGAAAACATCAAAGCCACTGAATCCTATGGCAGATCATTGTACGGCTGCAAATTATCTGTAATGTCATCTTTCAAACACATTTCAACATCTGAAACTTTTTTACACACAACGAAAAAAATCTATTTACATGAGAATGTCACAGTGGACATTTTTATCCAATGAAATTACATTAGGACCAACATTTCATATTCCTGTCGAAGATTCCTTTGCCGTAAGTAGAAAAGATCATCTCTTTAAGGAGAGGATACTGAAGCAGAACAAACAGCAACGCAGGGAAACAAGCGAGTAGTATCGTCGGAGGAACTATCCATTTCTCATTATCAAACATCGTAAACAGAGCCGAGGAGAAGGCAACAAGCATCGCAGCGATTGAGACGAACAGTATCGAAAGTCCAGCGATCATCTTCGTCGGCAGAGACACCAAGAAATCTTCGAAAGAGTATCTCGCGGTGAGTATCCCGAGGAATATGAGAACAGAGGTGCACGAGGCGAAGCACGAGATCAAATCCGAGACGACGAACGTGACGAATTGTCTGTCTTTTAGATGGAAGGGACTACCTCTTGCTTCGTCATTAGTGCCTCCGGGAACGGTGAATACCGCCGCGAAAGTTACCGTGACGATGAGAGCTGCTACTAGGCTGCATGACATCGCCGTGTCTTTCATCCATTTCTCTGCCTCTTTGCGTAATGATTCGTGCTCCTTTGTGAATATCTCGCTCGGTGTTTGCTCTTCCGTGTTTACTCTCTCCTTCTCTATCTCCGGTGCGTTCCTCTCAACCTCCTACGTGATCAAAGTCTTGAACTTTAGACATCTGTTGCTAAAAGAAACAGAGCAGAACAGATAAAAACAGAGCGAAACAGAGAAAAACAGAGAAAAACAGAGAGAAACTGAGCAAAACAGAGCAAAATAGGGAGAAACAGAGCTAAACGGAGAAAAACAGAGCAAACAGAGAGAAACGGTGCGTTCCTCTCAACCTCCTGCGTGATCAAATTCTTGATTTTTATGACATCTGTTGCTAAGAGAAACTGAGAAAAACAGAGCAAACCACAGAGATAAACAGAGAAAACAGAGTGAAACAGAGAGAAACACAGCAAAAACAGAGAGAAACACAGCAAACCTTGAACCATTGTAACTCGCGTTGCATCTGCAAAGTTGCGCCAACGACGTTAGAGAGCTTAGAAGGAGGGGAAGGATAGCCAGCGAGATGAAGCACACCGTTACCGTAACAATCCTTGTCAGCGAGCAACAGGTGTTTCCTATCGTCCATACCGTAGCAAAGACTAAACACTTTCTCTTGTCTGAACTCAACGGCCAAGAGAAACAGAGTACTGCTTGAGCTACTTCTCGTGGACCATAGAAGCTCGGAGTTGTTTTTGATCATCTCCACCAAGAAATCTACATTCCCATATCTCACTGCAAAGAGTAAAGCCTCGTCCACTGTCTCAGAACGTTCCCTCAGTCCCATGGCTACTGTTTCCTCTGATATTCCTAGTAGAAGCTTCTTTGCTTGTAGATGCATCACTTTCATTTTGTACACTTCATCTATTCCTGAACCATCTCTCAACTTTAATTGTTCATATGTCATGTAATCTCTACCTAATAACATTATCTTCTAGGGAAAACAAAAAACAAAGAAGAGTGTGCAGTGGTTTATTTAGAGGGTTAGAACATCCACATCAATGAACCTCTTTTGGGGTTCAATGATTCAATTTTTTAATATTAAAATTTTTCTATTTTTTTTTATTAATTTAAAAAAAAAAAAAAAAATAGACGAATTGCGGACTGGCACGTGTCCCGGAGCCCGCGCTACAGTAGTGAACCGGGTTCACTGCAGAGAAATCTTAAGGGGCAGGTTCATTACTATTCACTATTCAAGTTCGTTTTCCATTGTGAAAGATCTACTCTTAGAACATCATTATCTAGAATTTCTTAGGACGGGGTTCTTAACGAAATATAAGAAACTATTTATTAACTTTTAACTAAAAATATAAGAAATGTTTATTAACTTTGAACTAAAAAGTTAAAAAAAAAACTGTTTCTTATGTTCCCGTAAAAACTCGTCTTAACAAACTCTGGATAATGAAGTTTTTATATAAAGAGTTAATTTTAACATGGTCTGGACTTCGCATATACCAACCCTAAGACCTAAAATCAAATTCTTACCAGTCCATTTGGTTAGTAATTTGAGCAGTTTCCTCATCAGAGTATCTATAAAAAAAGGCAAGAAAAGAAATGAATGTTTCTCACATTCTTCTAAGGAATACATAGATGTATGTGTATGGAAACTTACTGTGTTGATCTTTGTTTGAACGTGAAGTCTCTGGAAGAGTCGGCAGCTTTACTGCTAGCCCTAACAAGTGAGAAAAGGAAATATCATTTTGGATCAAGAGGATGGGATCTTTGTTATGAAGAAGTCTTAGATTGGTACGAACAAGAGTAGATGAAACGTTCCAACGGTCCAAGAGAACAGCCACCAGGAAAAAGATCCGGTTTTGAAGCCAAGACAATGATGGGTATTGACTCTATTAGCAAGTGTTTTGTGACAGCCAAGCGTCTGCTTATGCTAAACAGATCCAACGCAATGTCTGTATTGAATAAAGAAAGAAATATCAAGAAGTTATCATTAAATCATGCGTAAGACATTTGTTGCTTGAACTCCAAGAAACTCCTTACCAAGCATTTTATAGAAGATAGCGTTGAGAAAGAGCAAAGTACCATGATAACCATCTTCATCAAGCAACACTTGAACAGGAGTTCTAGTGTAAAGATACCTAGCCATCTCTATCTGCGTGTTCTCAACAGCAACCACAACAGGAATCATACCATTGTTTCCAGGAATCTCAAGCAGCTTAGGGTTCTTGGCGATCAAGAGTTCAGCAATCTCCATGTTCCCACTAACCGCAACGACAGTGAGAGGCGTGTGGTACGCAGCGTTTTGGCTCATCTTGGGAAGCATTTGATCAGGTGTCATACGACGAAGAAGCTCTTTAACAATCTCTGGCTTGCCACACGCGCAAGCTTTCAACAACGGTGTCTCGTGGAAATTTATCCACTCGTCTACTGTGTCTGGACGCTGGTTCAAGAAGTCCTTCACGGCTTCCACACAACCTTGGCTTATTCCTTGACTTAGTTTTGTATACTCATGATATACATTTGTGTTCTTCCCTACATCAAACAACAAACATTAAACATTTCTTTGCATCTATATATCATGTTATGCAAATAACTAGGCATCCATGCCCTATATTAGCAAGTTCTTACATTGAAGCCGAGAAGTGGAAAGGGCTGATTCGATGAATGGAGTCTGAATATTGAGACGATCATTTGGAGCTTCATCTTCAGGAGATTCTTTGATAGGAGTGAAACCATCTCCTAAGCCACCTTGAGGAACCTTTGTGTTAGCGAATTTGAAAGGGCTCCTTCTAAATGTTTCTTTTAAAGCAGCTGCGTCTAAGTAATTAGAACTCGTTGCCATAATTAAAATTTCTTTGACAAACTCTAAACAAAGTATAAACAAATTAATCAAGAGAGGAAAATGGTAATAGCTAGGGTATATATAAAAATGGGTTTAAGTATATGTCGTTGTCTGAATGTACATGCAAGGCATAACAGTAACATTCAATCCTTGGTGTTTTTCTGTCCTATTCTTTGATTGATCTTGCATAAGAATATATGCTTTGCTTCGTTACTCATTATTTTATTTCGAGAGCTTGCTTTTCTGATTGAAAGAAAAATAAAGGTTCTTCCACATGAAATTATTAATTTGAAACATGACTCACGTGTACCTTTTCTGTTTTTAGACTTAATTAGTAACTAAATCATGATCTACGCACCGTACATAATTTATTTTCTGGATATATTTTATATAATTTAGTTTTATATGGATGCACAAATTTTATTTTCTGGATATATTTTATATAATTTAGTTTTATATTGTTTCGAGTTTGTCTGAGTCGATTTTATGTTTATGAACAATATCAAAACTGTTTTTTTTTGTATTAATAGCGTCAAATAATGTATTATGTAGATGTAATCGAGCAGTGAAAACATTATTTTTGTATGTTTGTTCAAAGTGCAAAATCAGAATCAAACTTAATTATTTGCGTTAAAAAAATAAGTTGAGAGATTGGTTATTTCTGATTTTAATAAATATACAAAATTTTAAAAATAATATACAAATTTCTAGAATTTTTGGTCTTAACCTTTATTTTATAATTAGGTCAAATTCAAACTTAATTTTAGTCTTAACTTTGCAAACGCAGAATATTTTATGATGAAAAATTTCATAAATAACTTAACTAATATTTTGGTTATTTGAAAGAATTTACGTATTTAAAATATTTTTTCAATCCTCGTGGGGAAAAACGTGGGGAAAAACGTTTTTCAGTATGTCAAATAACCATCTATGCATATACATGGATTAGGTCTATAATAATATTCATATTAAAAAAATCTTTAAAACAATTAAAAATGAAAATGATAAAACCAAAGCAGTTGTGAAACTAGCAACGCAAAACTATTTATATAAAGGCATCTCCAACCCAACTTCATTTTTTACTTCAAAATGGAGTAAAAGTGATTACTGAGTAAAAAATGCTCCAACCCCACTTCATTTTTTACTCCATAATGAGATTTACTCCATAAATGGAGTAATCTATTTTTTATTTATTCACTACTCCATTATGGAGTTACAAATATAGTGGGGTTGGAGCATTTTTACTCCGTAATCACTTTTACTCTATTTTGGAGGAAAAAATGGAGTTTTACATTGGTGATGCTCTAAGTGGTGTGGCTTAAAAGTTATAGCTTTCTCAAAAGAAAAAACTACTTCTATAAAACCTAAGAACTATTTTCTATTAATTGATTATCGTATTTAAATAATGTTGAATTAATTAATTTTAACTGTGGGTCAAAACTTAATTTTTGAAAGATCTTTAAATATAGAAGTATAAACAAACAAAAAAAATCTCTAAAAATTAATTTTTGAAAGTTCTGGATTGAGATACAAAATAACTCCTGAATATCTTTGATTAAACTTAGTTTAACAAGGTTTTTCCAATCAAGTCTGATTTGAAAGCACTTTCTTTCTATGTTTCAAAAATTTTCTAAACCCTCCTAGTTTACTTTCAGCTAACCTTTCAATCCAGAAACAAAGGTGAAGATCAGGTCTCAAAGGCTTTTCCGCATTTAAAAAACAACTTTTGAATCTTTCTAACTGGACCCAAATCAAGTGTCAAGAACCCCCATTTATTTATGTTAGGTCACAATGGTTCAATATTAAAACCAGAAGACTTTTGAAAGTTTCGCAGCAGCATAGCTAATTGCGTTAAGGATAGAGGGCAGATTCTGTTTGGAGTAAACATTAGCTTTATTAATAGCTGTCGACATCCGTTTCAGGCCTTCTTAGGAAGTAACGCAGACAGTTCACCAGCTCCTGCAGGAGAAATTGCTTCTTTACCTCTCTTTTTTCATGGTTTTAAGTAGAAAGTAACAGAAACAACAACAAAAAAACTCACCTTTGACAAAGAACTGTTTAGTGCTTGCCCTTGGTAGCTTACATGAAACTTGTCTTTCGCAACCAGTCCCTGAAAATTTTCAAAAGACAATGGACACGTGAATATTATAAGGCGTAAAGGTGGATCACACTGAATGTAGATGTGGAGGTATTAAAGATGTTTGAGTACTTCTGTGTCTATCTCTGCGGATTCCACGTCTATGTTGATATCAGCCATCACTTTTATCATCTCTACAACCAGACCTGGCCTGTCCGCTGTCTCTATGCAAAGCAGGCTATAGTAAACAGGAAACAAGCGAAGATTATGTAAACTATTCTGTAAGGCATAGAAATGTGACTCAATTCTACTGAATTTATTAATTATATACCTCCTCTTTGGTCCGTCTTCCTTCACATGTATGTGAGTCGCGATATCAACATCAACCTGTCACCAAATGAATCCAAAACCAGAATAAAGATATCAGTAAAGCTGGCCCTTTTAGATCTGCAGACTTCTTCAAATGCTCGATGTAGCAATAAGACACCCCTTGCAAGTTGTTCAACAAGGTAAAGCTTACCTTCTTTTCTGGACCCTTTATTCCAAATGTCTCACCCATTGCAAGTTGTTCGCTACATTCCTGCAAAACAAACAAAGACAATGTTAAAAATTATCCAAAAGCTGCATGCAGCCTCTTTGAATGTGAATCTGATAAAAGTAAAAAGATACATAAAACAGAAGCAGACCGGATGATATTTTAAGAGATTGTTGATGATTGTTAACCGAATTTGTTCCAACAAGTCAGGATCTTCCACTTTCCGACCACTGTCTCTGTTGTTAAAAAATTAAACAAATTTCAATTCAGGCATCTGTGACAGCTGACTATCCAGATAGATAGCAGAAGATGATGCAGACAACACCAATATTTTCGGAATGGGTAAGTACTTAATCAGATTCACTTGTTCCATGTTAATTATCTATACTCGGAAGAATCATCCAGACAAATGTTATAGTAAATGCAAATCATGAGTTTCATATGCAAGATCTCTATACAAGCATAATCTGCAGATTACAATCAATACAAGGTGGACCTTAACAAACTTATACATGCTACTGAACAAGTGAGATTATGTGATTAGAATAACATCTAAAGCAAAGAGAGAGCAGGGAAGAACGGCCTTTCTTACTGTTTTGTTATCGAAAACCTTGTCTGTTTAACGGATCCTTTAGTTGTGACAGTTCCTTTTATTACATCCAATCCCAAATCTTTCAGTGCCCTCATCTACCAAACACAACAATGATTCATAAGCCCAAAACAAAGCAAGTTTCCATTATACCAAAAGACATGCAGAGATAATCTAATAATAGTCAAAAAATACTACATAGTTGACTAAAGCCTTGTGCTGTACTTAGCATTGTTAGTGTAAGCAGGAGCTTTATCACACCAATAAAATGGGAAAAAAATCTAAAACAAGGTTAAAGGGACATAATCACTAACGGTGTCAATGAGAGCCCCAAGACGATCTCCAAAACTGAGCTGTACAATAGTGGCTTCAGGGTCAGCATCCTGGTCTATCAAAACCATTGGCATTGGAACAAAGTCCTCATCATCTTCCGATTTCTGCGATCAAAATTTTCCAGCAAATGTCATCTCAAAGCACAAAACTCATACGGAGACTCTTTCCCTATTAAAACATGGAGAAAATCAGATCACATATAGTAAGTAATTATACACATGGACACATAACCGTATACTCTCTACATTTACTGGACCTCCTGCGTGCGTATACGTGCAAGTCCATCGTAGACAGTCAAATCAATAGATCCAACAACCACTAAAATTTTTAAATCCCTCAAGTTCAAAGACTAAGGAGAAATCAAGAGGATGAAACAAGTTAACTGACCGGATAAGAAGGAGTGGAGGCATCAGTGCTGTTAATCGAAGCATATACACGGTTTCTTATACTGCATATCAAAATCAAACAAAGAACGTTAAGATGCATTAACAAATCTCAGATCAATCAATCATAAGATCACACACACAAGAATCTGAAATAGGTTCATCTTGAACAAATAAACCGATAGTTTCTCGATTCTCTTAAGCTCAAGATTCATAACGACAAATTTCAACTACGAATCCTAGATTACTAGTTCCATCTACCGAATCGTTCGATCACATACTCATTAGATTCGAACTTAGAGTAAGCTTACTATAAATAACCTAGTAAGTTTGCTTAATCCGACTGTAAATCTCCAGCGATTCCAGCGAAGAGAGACGTAAGAGCTAACCTCATCGTCAATAAAGGCATTACACCTTCGGCGAACTTGCGGCGATCACCGAAGAAAGCAAGCGATAGATCTGGAGGTGAAATTTGAGCGGGAAAACGAGTTTGACGGCTGATCGCGGGAGAAGGACGAGGATGAGTAGCAGAGAAGATAGTATTCGAGAGCGCCATTGAAGTTGAAACTGACTTCTTTTTTTCTCCTCCGAAGTCAGAAGAGAACAACACTAAACGCAATGTATAAAATCTAAAATGGCGAGAATAATTGGCGTTTAGTGATAACAAAAGATGGTGGAGTGCTGAATCTGTTGATGTGTGACGTCACTTTTTTTTAGATGGTCCACCTGTAGTAGTAGTAGTACCATCGCATATTAAATTGTTTTCTTCTTTTATGTTTCTACTAAGAATTGATTGAAAACTTTGCAAATTGCTAAAAATAATGCGAGAGAGTGATCGCTGACGTTTCTAACTTATACGTTGCTATACCAAATTATAACTTTTTTTTGTCAACTAGAGCAAATTATTTTCTTCTCTTTTGTATTCTTTTCTCCTCCACGCCAATCGAACTAGTTCAAAAAAAAAAAAAAATTGGTTCACAGACTTTACAAATTTATGTGGAAGTACCGTATCCTAATAGTTAATATTTAAAGGTTTCTACACTTAGATATAAAGTTCAAATCCTGCAATTTCTTGCAGATTAGAGGAAATCCATGTTTCAAGTGCTGGAAAGAATGATTTATTAATGCAGACAGAAAATCTTCAACATGGTGATGCAGTTAGACGTGAATCTTTATAAGATATATAGAGTATTGTCGGTTGTCGAGTTGTCTATGTATTTTTTTATAACTGTCATATAATAAATCAGCCTTATGAAAAAAAAAACTTTACTAATTCCATTAAAGAAAAAGTTAAAAACAATAAAAACGAGCCTGGGCTTAAAACTAGGCCATAGTCCAATGGGCCTTACATTTCTGCGGTTAAAGCGGTTGCTTCAGAATCTACTTACTCCCACAAGACTCATTTTCTGCAGACAGACAATAATAAATCAATTACGAGAAACAAAAAAAACCAGAGTGATTAGCAAAAATGTCGTCGGCTCGTTATGCGATCACACGGCTAGGATTGGCTCGATCCTTGGGGGAGAGTCAGATTGGTGGATCACGCTCCGTTGGATCGGTTCGGCGCTTCAGCGACGACAAAGGTCGTGTGCTGAGCGATGAGGAACGCGCCAAAGAGACCATCTACATCCAGGTTCTAAGCTCTTTTTTTTTGTCTCGTGATTTCTATATGGATGGTATTGGATTATTGGATTCAATGTTTGGCGAAAAATCTGATCAGAATATTATCATTTATGGAAATGACGCTAGATCTGATTTGTAAGCTTATCAGATAGAGTTGGATCCATTTTTGGAATAAAAGATATTGTTGTACAGTGTTCGTGTTAGAATCAAAGTCAAATACTGTGAAACCTCTATAAATTAAAAATGTTACTACACCAAAATTTTATTTTTTTATTAATTTAGAGAGATATTAAATTATTGATAACCAAAAAAAAAAAAAAAAACTCAATTTAGTACTATAAAATTATATTATTTATAGAGATATTTAGTGTATATTAATTTATAGAAATTCTACGGTAGTACGTCGATGAGTGCTACAAGGAGTGTATAAAGTTCATAGATCAGAGGAAAAGAATAAAGATGAATGTTGTTTGTGTGAAAATTGGAAAGTACTACGTGTTCTTGTTACATAAATCTATATATACATAGCTTGTGTATGAGCTTTTAGTTACAGAGTTACTTTTATAGCTTGATGCTTCCTACTTTCATTGCTTAGCCTCTCACAAAGAAGTTTCACTGACGTAGTGAAATAAAAACTGAATGTACTAGTTTCTGAAGCTGTGTATCTTCTAGTCACAACCCAAATCTGATAAGTCCCATTTTCTTTTTTTTGTTGTAGAAAATGGAGAAGGAGATACTGGAGAGAAAGAAGAAACTCGAGCAACAGAAGCCAGATAGTGACAAAGCAAAGGTAAAACTTTCATCATACCATCAACTTACACACTCGTTTTCTTTTTCATTGTTGTGATCAAAAATGTTTTGTAGTCAGAATCCTCTTTTAGATGTAAAAATAATGGTTCCCTCTCTCTTATGCAGAAGCCAGAGGAAAAGAAGCCCTGAGTTTCATCATCTGCAGTAGCACATGTGGTCACAAGGCAAGCAACAGTGAAAAATAAGCCTTTGACAGTTTCACCTTTGTCCTCTTTGGTTTGAGACTTTGTACTTGTCACCCCCTCCTGTGTATGTTTGTTTGTGTGTGTTACAAAAAAACCAAGTTTTAGACTGAAAATATAAATGGCTGCCTCAATTATAAAACCACCATATGCATTTGATTCAAAATACCAAAACGTACCAAACATATCTCTGAGTTACAAAAAGCTTTCATTTCATCTATACACTATTTTTATTATGCTTTCATCATTCATCAGTATAAGAAAATAACCCAATGCTATTGCTTTTCCTATTCACATAAAATCTGTAAAAAAAAACCCTACTATAACAAACTAAAACCATTACAAACTTCCTCCCCTTTCTTCACATCCGATAACCACCAAACTCCTCGTAATGACCACCACCCGGAGTCAATTCCTGACCATACTCCGACATGCTCTGCTGCTGCTGATGCTGAGTAGCATGAACAGAGCTCTCCTGCTGGCCAGTCCAGTCCATGTTCGAACCAGGCATAGCTAAGTTAGTATCCACCGTAGTTATGTCGTGTATGCTCGACCTTTTCCTCTCCTTCTTCACCGAGTTCTGTCTAAGAAAATACTTCTGAGCATGACTCGCAACTTGCGTAGGTGTCCTAGTGACAACCACGTTCCTAGATATGCTCCTCCAATCTCCTTTACCATATCTCTTCAATCCAATCAGAAACAATCTGTAACAAAAAAAATTCATAACATTCAAAAATGTAACTAATCACCTATATTTAGCATAATTCACCACAATATTTGGAAACAAATGTTTTAATTCGTAACTTCCCTAATTAAATTAAACCCTAATTTTGCATAATTTTGGTAATAATGATTTTAAGACACATACTTGTGTTCGTTTTCCGACCAAGGAGTTCCACGTTTCCGCTCGGTCTCGCCGTGTTTAGACCCAAACGAGATCTGACCAGCTGAGTCCCAACCCGCCGCAGAGTCATCCAAGTAATCAGGGACATCGACTCGACCAGAATCAATCTCCAAGACATCGTGCACCAACGCCTCGTAATGCTCTCTAACTTCACCAGGAGATTTCTGGAGCTGATCAGCGATTCTCTCCCACCGATTTGGAGATCCTTCAGGGAAAAGAACCAACGCTTGCTCAAACATCTTATCCTCTGACCTTGTCCACTGACTTGACGCCATATCCAAAGTTTTTTTAAAAAGACTCAAAAGTTGGTAAATTCACAAAAACAAAAATCTGAAATTTATTGATGGATGGATGGATGGATGGATGGATGTTGGAGAAACTGTTGAAGAGAACTCAGATAATTTATATTGATTCTCTTTTGTGTTTTTTCTTAGGAAAGTTTTTTGTTATTTGCTGGAAAATTAAAAAAATGGGAGAAGAAGCAGCTCAGAGACCAACTTCAACACGGTTTCTCTGCAATTGGGATGTCTTTTGTCTCTCTCTCTTTCTCTTTCTCTTTCTCTTCTCTATTTTTTTCTCTTATTTATTTTTAATTTTAGGGTTACCACCTGACCTGGTGACTGTATTTTTATGCTCCAGTTTGTTACAGTTCTGAATATATTTTTTTTCTAATTCTTTTATAAGCATATGCCACTTTAGTGTCTAATAATATCTCAACACGTAGCTATTTTGAAAAGCCAACCGCCTAAAATTAAGAAAAAGCAAGTCCATGAAAGTTTCTTTTGAGTTCACATTCACGATAGGGGTGGGCACGGATCGGATATCCGGGTTTTCGAAGGTATTTATGATTTGCTTCGTAGGTTACGAATACCTGATTTTGGTATTTGCTTTGCTTCGAAAAAATACGGATATCCGGAAAAACGGATATCCGAAAAATAAACAAATATTTGCGGATATTTACGAATACTACGAATATCTCATCCGTTACAAATAATCTTATATAAATTTATTTTGTAAAAGTTTTTTACATGATATATAAAATAAAAAATAAAGAAGTAGTGAATTTACATATTTTATATTTTTTTATGTTTTAGTTAACAACTATAATAACACAGAACTTAAGATTTTTTTGATAATTTTCATAATTTGTCTCTTCTTTTTATCTGATAATTTTATATAAGTAATAATGTGAATCTAATTAGTCAAATCATAAGCTATAATAATAATTTTACACATTTAAATTTTTAAATATAATCAAAATATACATATATTTATATATTTCCGGATCGGATCGGATATCCGCTTCCCAAAATTTTAATATTTGTGATTTGCTTCGGTTTTAACGGATATTGATTTTTAGTATTTGCTTTGATTCAAAAAGTTACGGATATCCGGAATTTTCGGATCGAATCGAGACAAATAACGAATCGAATCAAATTTAACGAATAAAATGCCCAGCCCTAATTCACGAAGGAATCCACTGTCTACGTCTCTTTGCTATATACCTGTCACTCTTTTCTTTTTCTTGGGGTCCAATGTCCTGCTTTACTATATAACATCGTCGGTGTATTTTAAATTTAAAACTTAATCATACTTATTACACCTTTACTATAATTTGTTGTGTTACCTTTCAGTGCCTATGTGAAACTTGTTGATTTTCATGTTTATTGGTGATATCCTGATTGCTCAACATTTTGACCAATTTATTCAGGCATTTACCGCAAATTTTGACTAATGTTTGATAGTTGGATCATTAATGTTAGTCAAAACCCCCAATTTTCAACTATTTAAGATTAAAAGTTCAAAACTCAAGAGTTTTTTTGCTAGTGATTAATTAAGTATACTAATCAATATTCGTAGTTTCATGCTTCAGTTAAACAAGTTTTCGTTTGGTTATACGTTGCACGTTTATGTTTAGATTATAAGTATCTACCAGTTTATATGTTTCTGTTCAGTAAAACAAAGACAGCATTCAGGTTTGTCTTTATCTTATCCGATATCTCAACCAACTTCAACAAATCTATAACATTATTTGAGAAGTAAATTTGCTTAGTTGTCAACTTCTCCATGATTTTAGGTTATTTTATTTATTTTCATGTTTAAATAATTTAGTATATAATAAAAACGAATTTATGTTAATAATATTATATTTTTAGAAAATATGTTAGTTATTTTGTATTAGATTGTTATCTTAAAAAATATATTATTGAATTATTATTTTAGAAGTAAAAATTTGCTTAGTTGTCAACTTCTCCATGATTTTAGGTTATTTTGCTTATTTTCATATTTTAATAATTTATTATAAAATAAAATAAAAAAGAATTTATGTTAATAATATTATATTTTTTGAAAATATGTTAATTCTTTTGTATTAGATTGTTATCTTAAAATATATTTTTAATTATAAAATTTAAGTGAGTTTACTGATTAATTTGTAACTTTTTGTGATTTAGGTAATCTATACTATTATTTGTAAATGATTTTTTGCAAGAAAACTCTCACGTTGAAAGTTAGAACGGTTAATATCGTTTATGCCCTTAATGAATAATTAAAAAAATTAATTTAATTAAACATAAATAAACAACGAATTTCAATGATTTTAGATTTATCTTTATCTAAAACTATTTTATATTGGGTTATAAAGTTTTTATTAACCTTGAAAAATAATTATATTAGTTAATATACTTGAAAAATAATTATATTAGTTAGTATATAATTAATTATAAATTAAAATCGAATTTCATTTATCTGATAATTATCCTTATTTTTTATATTATGTGATAAAGTCTTTATCAACCTTGAAAAATAATTATATTTGTTAACATATAATTAATTCTAAATTTAAAAATGAATCTCTTGAATTTGATAATTATCTTTATCTAACTTTTTTATATTGTGTTATAAAGTATTTATTAATGTTGAAAAAAATAATTCTATTTGTTAATATATAGTTAATTATGAAAAATCAATTTGCAAAGAATTTATGTATAGATAATTTATATTGTGTTATCCAAAACATTATTAAACATAATTTTTTATACTTTTTTGTTATGTCTAAAAACGATATTAATTTATTACTAAATGTTTCAAGTTTATGAGTATTTTCAAATATAAGTTGTGTAATGAAAATTATTTATATGATGATGAAAAATTTATAAATAAAAAGAATTCGTTTAGTTTATTATTAAATATTTTGAGTCTATGAACAATAATTTATTATAATTTACATAACTTGATTATATATTTATTTATAAATATTAGTAAAATTATTAAGCCCGCAAGTGCGGGCAAAACACCTAGTTAACTAAAGAAAACAAAGGAAAGAAACTTGGATGAGTATTTTAGTATTTTAACTGTACTTGCTTTTAATCACAAAGTAGTTTACTTGTTTTAATATGATTTAAACACTTTTACTAATCTAATTGGATCCGCAAATTAAGTGGATACGTTACGCACTCGACGAAGGTGCGTGGACCGACTCTTCACAAGTATATATTAAAGTCACGTGTCATTCTCCTAATTGTTTCTCAGATATACTTTTTGGCATCTGCCTGATGCACCTAGACGAGGTGCCGTCGAGTACAGTCGCCATGTGTCTCTTTGAAGCAAAATCTATTAATTTTTGTTTTTTTTTTTCTGAACGACCTAATTTTTGTTCTTTTTATAAGCTTTTTTTGTTTGTTATGACATGTTTTAGTTTTGATATTATCTTCGAAGACGAAGGAGAAAAAAAAACAAATGACTTTTAATTTTTGCATGAAAATTAAACAATATTAAATGGGTCTAGTTAAAGTCTCGAAAATTAAACAATATTAAATGGGTCTAGTTAAAGTCTCCCAATAGCTATTATATGGGTGTTTAAATTGGGCTTGTAAGCTAACTATTTATCAATGTATACATCATACGTAATTATCTTATGGGCTGATCCCACTAAAACTAGCCCACGACACGAGAAAGTTTCAGATATAGAATAGAACGTGTTACATACACATTGAGTGATGTGCGTGAATACCTGATGATATAATGACTGTATTTTTAGTTGCTGAATCACAGTTTGAGTCCACATTTTTTATCAAATAATTAATTACAAATTTGACATATAAACAGATTTGTGGTTTCCTTTAATCTATGTCTTCCAGAGAGCTGCCATTGCGCTAAAATTCTAGAATATTGTTATGGTCCCTGCTATACACCACGCTTCAAGTAAATGGAAGGGAAGAAATTAGAATGCATGTTTGTTGTACAATAAGATAAAATTTATTTTATTTTTTTAATTAAAGATGATATCTCTATCTATATATATACTCTGTATTTATTTATAAGATATGGGCAGGTCTGGTGTACAGAGTATGAGACAGTGGTCGGATATAGGCAAACTGAGTTTTGCATCTTATCTAAAATTCAGATTTGACCATCCCACTCACTGTATAAACCACTCCCCCCATTATCTTGTGGTGTGGTGTTTATTGCGTTATCTCATTACTCTTTTTATATAACCCAAAAATTGCGAGTTGTGATTGGACTCCAAATGAATCATAGTTTTGGTTTTGTCCAAATTTAATGTGTCAAATGAATCATAGAGTTTTGGTTTTGTCCAAATTTAATGTATCTGCATCGAGGATCTATCTGACGTGGACGAGGAATCTATAGTGTTACATGATTGTTATCATGTGTTTCATAAAGTTTGTCTTTTGAAGTGGATTTGGAGCAAAGGCTCTTGTCCTTTATGTCGTCATCCGATTTATAGTAGAAAACAAAAATCTTAGGGTTTTTCTTTTTTCTTTTTCTTTGGAAGTTGTCCCAAAGAAACGTATTTACTTGAATATGTGATTATTTTTTTATTAATTTGTTTTTTTTTTATCTCATATGTTGAGTCTCTAGTATAAATACTCGATGAGTTCGCACTTTACGTTTTGTTTTCATAAGTTGTTGCTCCTTTGACTTGTCATTATGAGTTTGACCAAGTTATTACTAGATTACATGCATGTTGTAGTTCGCTTATTCTCTTCTTCCAATCTATCAAATATACTAACTTAGGTGTTACTTCCATTGAATAATAAATACTTTATAAGAACCTTAAAGCAGCTGGAAAGGTTGAATCTCTGATTTATTTTTGAACTTTAAATTAGCAGAAAAAAAAACGAACAAAATATCAAACTCAAGCCATGGTTTGGTTCTTATTTATTAAAACTAAATAATGTACTACATACTAAGGCTTCTAGAATTAAAAAAAAAAAAAAAAAAAAAACATTCGAATAATACACCACGAAGGCACGAACCATTCTGAAATCATCAAATGAGGTAGGTACGTGGTGGCATTATCACACCACGATTATTCTTCGAAACCGAAAACATACATCTACCTAGACAACAACATCATAATGAGTCTTAAAGCAACTGTTCTTATCTCAAGCCA